GCCGTACGGATGATATAATCAGGCTATATGTGGCCGTCAGGATCACATATTTCTATATTCTATTTACTAGTATATAATCTTTAATAGCTATAATCTATAGGATCTAATATATATAGTATTTAAGAGGGTAATTAAGCTAGGTAGCTTGTAGATCGGATAAATCTATTACTTTTAAGGCAAAAGTAAGAGATAGATAAGAGGAAAGTAAAAGATAAAGGCCTTAGTAGAGGCTTAGGCTTATAACTATTAGAATTACGTATAGTATATAAAACCTTAGTAGAAATCGTTCGTGTGTACTATCTAAAGTACTATAATTATAGAAGAGAGACAAATCAGGATAGATCATAATCGGCTAATTAGATAGAAGAATCAAGTAGTAGAAGGTTGATTTAGATAGTCTACTATACCTAGTGATTCTTCCTTAGATAAAAAAGATATTAAACTAACTTTTTCTAACTAGGAGATAGAGTATAATTTATAATATAAGGAATATAGCAAATATTATATAAGGAAATCAAGAACATTCGAGGTCATTTTGGAGTATTGAATATTCTTCTGCCTAGTCAAGTAATATTAACATAATCGTTGAGGATCAGAATCTAGGATTAGAATCTAGGGGTAAACAAGATAGGGTTTTCTTCCGTAGTAGAACTAGAGAGATTGCTTAGTAAGCAAACAGGATTCAAAACAGCAATCTAGGCCTATAGGCTATATATACCGATACCTACTATACTTTTCTCTTATCTTATCTTTATGATTCTAAGCCGAATTGATTTTACCCTTCTTATTTAATTAGAGGAAGAAAGATCGATCTATCTTATTCAATCTTCTTCCTCCTTACCTACCTACGTAGTATCGCTTGCTTATAGGTTATAAGCCCGAATTAATTCTACTTTAATTCGGCTTATATAACCCCTTACTTTTAAAAGAAACTTCTCTCTCTTAAGGAAAAACAAAAAGCTCCTCCGACTTCCTGCTTTCTAAAATTTATACTCGATTTTTACTAGTTACGTCTACTTTTCTATACGAAATACTAAGAAATCTCGACTTTCTTGATAAAAATAATTATTTTTCAAAAATTTAATTAAGTCTTTTTAACTTAAAATGATTAATAAATATAATATCAATCCTCTTAAAGAAGAAGAAATTATATTACCTAGTCTATCCCAATCGAAGCTATTCTTGATTTAGAAAGATTAATCGATGCTATTTAATTCGACTATACTAAGCTCGGTATAGCTTTTAGATAGGAATTAGGTCTATTTATCTCCTATAGTTTTCTCTAGAACTCCGTGGTCTTCAGAGGATATAATCTATCGTCTAGTGCCTATAGATAAAGCACTGCTTATCGCTCTACAACTTCTGCGAGATAGCTAATATATAGTCAGAATCCACCGATCCCTCCTCTTCTTTTCTTTCTTTTCCTAGTCTCCATAAGATAGAGCCTTAGCTAGACTGCTCAACAATCTATAAGAACTGTACTATTATACCTAACCGCGCTTCTTATCTATGCCACTGCCGTTATGGAAATCCTGCATCGTCGAATGTCAACGCGGTTCAACCCCTTCTACGATTCGCGAATAGTCAAGCTTACGTTATTCGAAGAGCCCACGATGCGAACACCGTTTCCCCCGGTGGAGTTCACGTTGCCAACTATGACACCCGTGTTGTTGGAGACTGGGCCATGGAATGTGACTCCACCTTGATATATCGAAGTTGGCTGGTGAGTATATAATTAGCAGTCGCTCAAGTTCAGTTGGGCAAGGATGCTACGACAAGATACTGCATACCTGCACTGCCTGGCCCTGTAGAGACCTTCCACTCCGGTCCTCCACAGTCTCATCAGGCCAGGGCTTTCTCTTATCTCTGACAGACACGCCAGAATCAACCATGTCACTCTGAACCGGTGTCTGCCACGCCGGAATAACGGCCAACAACTCCTTTGCGTACGCCGCCGCCACGGCCGCCGCGTACGCCTGCCACTGTTTGTTCTTGTGAGAATCCGAATAATCGCAGATTCCCCGGATGACCAGACAGGGGAAGTGATCCATCAACCCTGCCGCCTCCATCTCAAAGCACAGAATCCCACTACTACCCCCTAGATCACGGGAAACACGGTCTCGCGTCACGCCATCTCTCATAACCTGATTCCCCGACGCAATCAGTCCATAGTGGATGCGGGGATGATCCGGCGACGGACGTGGGGGGCGAGGGACCACGCGACTCGCGGAGCAATCCCTACACGTACCATTGTCGTCGAGAGGGTTGTTGACGTGCGCATGTTCGGCCTCGAAGAGCACGTCTTGCTGTGGACCTGGGTACGAAAATATTCGCGACATGGCCGGGTACCGTGTCAGCATCTGGCCCAAGTGGGCAGGGATCTGTGAGAGACCGATCATAAGGTTTGCTTCTAGATCTGCCAGCGCGGCGAGCAGAGTAGGAGGTGGCTTGTTCAGGGACCCCGTGCGTTGGAATCGACCGCTGCCGATAGTTTTCCCGTAGTCATACTGAACGACGCCGCCAAATGTTCCGGATGGTTTGCTGACCACAATGTCACCGAGGCGGATATCGGCGTATTTGCTGGGTACGCCACCGCCAATACCTACCATGAGGCCAAAGCGGATAGCCTGGAAGGTGTTGGTCATGCGGATGGCGACAGTAGTTGCAGATGAGAGGCCGTAAACGCCGGATGGAAGACAAGCGATCACGATGTTGTGGCCTTGTAGTGTGCCGAGGGTATAGATGTTGTCGTCGCTGGGGTTCCGGGGGAGTGGGGGATGGATCTCGTCTAACATGGCTTTGGCTGCTGCCATTTCTAGCGGGAGGGCACAGATCCATCCGATTGTGTAATCGGAATATGAGTTTTTGGGATAAGTGGCCATCCTGTTGTTTGTGATTGGTACTTAGCCTACTGGGGGATGGAAAAAAGAAGTGATGTCTTCGAAGACGCTAGACAGAGAGGGGGGATAGATTGGGGTGGGGGTGGGATGGGATGGGACAGGCTAACGTCCTCCTATTCGATGGAAGTACATTGTACATGGGACTTTCCAGAGGCTAAATCTTCAAGATCATCATTATATTTCCGAGGAGTATATATCTTTAAAAAAAGAATCCCTGTGCAAAGAGTATGTTAAGGAACAAAAATATAGACTCTCATCGCCTTCCTTTCCCACAAACCATTCCTCCCGGGTTTCATGCCTCTCGTGGACTAAATTTTCGAATCCATTTATTTGGCCGCTGCTATACAGACGGGCCGAAATTCTCAATATACGCCCTTACCGATCTATCTACCAAACCGTGGTTGGCTTCCGCTGCCCTCGGTTGTTCGCGTCCGTGTCTCTCTAAGAAACTCTCGTCTCGCATCCCAGGTATTCCGAGATCGGTGTCGTCGTCGGATGTGGACGAAAGTACAGATGAATTCGCATGTCGAAGCACCTGAGCTGTGCCAGTCGCCAATTCCGCAACGATTGCTGGCAGAGTTACCTCGGGCTGCAGATTCTCTGTGATGTACGCGATACTTTCACGATCAGATTCCTGGGACAGTCGAAGTTCCGACAAAGGTATGGATTCAATCTCTGTGTCTAATCCCCCCGATGGAGGACAGCGGGAGTCTATGTTGACCTTGACTGGTCTGCGATATCGAGACTCTCCATACCTTACATGTCCTATGGATGTCGGGTTAAAGACACGGACACCAAAGCCGGACTGAATGAAGTGGACATGGTAAGTACTCACCGGTGATTGTTGTTTGCGTGCCAGAAACGTTGCCCATGGCGAGACCTTCATTCGTATGAATGCTTAGCCTCGTATTTCCTTGGTGAATGTGATTCAGTTGCTTGAGGCCCTCTCCCTCTGAGGGGGCAATGGCTGTGTCTTCCCATACTCGGTGATTATCGAATTCGCTTTCGAGTGTAGACCATATCGGCAGCGGGGGAGCAGGCAGGGTTGGGGTATCATGTACTTCTCCGTTGCCTTCGAGAGTCCCGGAATCAATATCGGCAAGTGATGATGACACTGGGTGGCTTTGATGTTGTTCATCGCCTGATTTACGTTCGATCCCCGCGGTCACTTGCTCGTAGGTCTTTACGAATTTATTAACTTTAACTTCAAGATGTTTCCGTTATGAAGGGGAATGAAACTTGCCGTATCAGCCTCCTGGGCACTGCTGCTAAAGTTGAAGATATCAGCATCGAAAACCATCTCTGCCCCTCGCTGAACTGTCAAATCTGACGATTCTCGGGAATCGTGTTCTGCATGAAAGCGCTGCCGTGTTGCACTTGTCTCTGATTCAAGCCGGCTAAACTCAGTGATCGACTTAAGTCTGGAGGAACGAGATATGAGCGTACTGCCATCCCAGGAGTGCTTCTGGTTCTCTGAACATTCTGGAAAATTTGTGAGAACAAGCGAATAAGGTTGCGATGGTTTCAGGACTTACCCTCACAGACTTTATAGTTACCATTGCTGCATTGGTCGGCTTTTCTTTTCCTTGGTTGAGGATAGCGTCTGGTGAAGCTGATAGATTCGGATTTTGGATGAGATGGTTCTCGCAAGCCGGCCGATGGCTGGGTTCCACGGAGTGATGAAGCAAAAGGGACCTCTATCAAAGGCATATCCAGCAACTTGGGCATGAACTTCTCTGACCTGCCTGCAGAGACAGAGCTACGCGGAAATCGGTGGTATTGAGGGTTCCAGAAGTGAGACATGGAGTAACCCATGGAAAATCTCTTTCCTTGGACTGCGTGCCAGTCGATCATTCTGTTGTAGAAGATCCCACCGAGAAACGCGCCCAGAATCAGTAGTGCTCCCGGGATGATACTGTACAGATAAGGTTCAATAAGGGCCAGCAAGGATGCCAGCATTAGTAAAAGCTTTGGGGCCTTGGCCGGACGAGGCCAGTGACTATAAAGCCCGGCCGTTTTGCGGCGACGGTTCAGGAAGCCGTCCAGGTCTTTCAGTAACGACACGAGATCACCATTATCCGGATCCAGTTGCATAGCCTTCTATGTATAGTGCAACGCGCTACCCAAATCATCTAACTGTCCCGTCCGGCCATATCGCTGGGTCAGAACCAGGCTGGAATTGATCAGACAAGTCACCATCTCTCTCGTGTCCTCCGGGAAACATTCAAGTGCCCGGACAAAAGACACAATAGACTCATCTTGGTCCTCTCCTTTGCCCGTGAGCTGGTATCTCCTGCACAGCAACGAACCCAAATTGTTGAACAGGGTACCGCGAGTGGTTATAGCAGAGTCAGCTGCGAGCCGGATCGAGTCCCGAGTCTTCAATATAGCTTCTTCCAGGTCCCGGACATCCCCCATACGATCATATAGGCATGCGCGGATGGCTCCAAGAGTGGCCAACACGCTCGGGGCATGCTTCTGCTCTCTTTTCCTTTGGAGAAAATCCCCTGGCCGCAACACATACTCGAGTGCTTGGTGCAGGTCATCCTCGTGACTGGTGTGATTATTATACCGTCGCAACAGCAGATTACCCAGGTTATTCAGCAGAGTCGTGGACATGGGATTGTCAGCTGTGCTGATGCTAATCGCCAGCCGAGTAGCTGATACTGCCTCGTCCAGGTCCGTCTTCCTGCCCGCCGTTTGGTGTCGGCTCGCGTGGATGTCACCCAGGTAGGCAAAAATCATCAGCAGGCTTGGCCTGGTATCTGGGCTGGAGGGACTCCATTCTTGTCACTATTCATATCCATGATGGTTGAAATAGGAAGGGGAAAAGGTGTAAACTTGAAACTGTTGTGGCCCCCCATAGCCTTGTGCAGCACCGCCACGTCGCCCCCCCTCTCTAAGCGCCCGACTTCGCAGATGCGATTCGATATGTATCTGCAAGTCTAGTCACATATCCACCTCAAACCATTGACTAAGTTGGGGGGGGGGGGAGCTAGTAACTAGGACAAGTATTCAGGACGGGTTGAAGGTTTCTGTTCCTCCCACTTTTCCTTTCTTTTTCTGGTGAGCTTCACTTGTCTCGCAGTATCAGATACACAGACGATCATACTTTCTACATGGAAACATAACCATGAGCCTCGCCCCCAACGATACCAACCCCTGGGAGGAGGAACTGCAAGAACGAGAACGAAATTCAACCCAACCCGACCGGCCATCGAACAACGAACCCCGCAATGAACCTAAGAACAAGAATGGCCTCGCATCAATTTACGACAAGGTCAATCGCCGGATCGAGGAATTAAATGTCCAGACCCAGCATGTGAGGGCGGAATTCCAGCAGGCGCAGAGGCTTGTGGATGACGTCAAGCGACGAATGGAAGAACTCGATAACCCGCACATAAAAGTGCTGGTGGAACAAGATGCGTCGATCAGTTGTCTTCGGATAGGTGCAAGGTTGGGATTGTTAGCGAACGAGATCAACATGATCGTGGGGAATGATACAAAACAACACTCCTCCATAAAGAGGGATACCACACTCCCTATTCATGCGGAACTCCCCCACCGAAGATCCTCGAGCACCGGGACCTCCGTTCCAAACCACTCTCTTCATCGCAGAGAGGACTATTCGTCTCCTCCATGGTCGGATGCTGTGCAAAGGGCCATGCCAAGCGATAATATGGCAGAGTTGTCTGATTCCGATGAAACATTAGCTCACGACCGTGTTGCACAGACTCGTACTGAATATACTGCGCCCCAGCAGCCGTGTGCACTTCATGGATGGAATGGGAGGCGACAACGAGAAGGCTTATCGATCAAAAGGGATTCTATACGTGCGGCTGAAGATCACAATACGAATCCACATCTAGCGGGGAGCTCGCATTTTGTGAAGCAATCTAGAAACATATCAAAGGAGTTGTCGTCGAGATGGGCACGAGTTAGGCCAGACGAGGACGACCCGTTGCTCTTGAAACATCTTCGCGATGTGTATGATCAAACAAATGTCGAGCATAGCAGGCGCATGAGAACCAATTATCACCCTGCCGGATTGTATTTTGGTAGAGAAATCATACAAGAAGAAGAAGAAGAAGAGGAGGAGGAGGAAGAGGAGGAAGAGGAGGAAGAGGAGGAAAAGGAGGAAGAAGAGATTGAGGTAGAAGAGATAGAGGAAGAGGAAGGGGGAGGAAGAAAGGGCGGAGGAATCAAAAAAGGAAGAGGAAGTGGAAGAAGAAGGTGACGATGAAGTGACATACAATGCAACTGGAGATCAAGAAGCTCAAGGGTGGCCCCGGGCTAGGTTAAGCCAGTCTGTGAAACAGTTCATATCCAGGTTAGTGAAGCGTACGAGTGGTTCTAAGAAGCAGGATGAACTATGGGACCTGATGGTAAGTGATATTATACCTATCCTCGCCAGGCTTTGAATACTGATTAGACCATTTAATAGGTTCATCGAGATTGTTGGGAATGGGCCGATGTAAGTATCTATTGCAGGTTTTCTTGTGACTACTTCTCTTATTTGGGTTATTATAGGATGACAGCGATTATATCATCGTCAAAGATGTTTCTAAACCTCTCTGGGGAAGTATTCGCCAGTAGCGAGCTCGCCCGTCGAGGGTGAAGCCGTCATGAAGGTCAAGTCATACAAAATATCAACAATCGGCTGGCGGTTATTTTGATATATATGAACCAACCCTTTCATGAATGCTGTATATGAATAATAGTAGGTGATAAATGATATTACTCCCGCTTGACATATTAGTTTTCTAAGGGATTGAGGCGGCCAGAGGCTAATTTACTGCGTGTGTTTTCATACTGATTTATACATACCTCAGTTGGACAATTCATAACCCCTAAATACAATCATCTAGCTTGGATTGTAGTGAAAATGGACCCATTCATCTTTTTTCCATCGAGAAGTATGCACTAAACCTCCGCAACCAACTAGAGACCCTATCAGGCTTGGTCCTATCGGACCATTGGCTAAGAAGCTCTACTTGGAGTGCTGCCTCGGCAGACCATGTTCAAAGCAGGACAAGCTTTCTGATTTCATTGATCACAATATCTTGGCAAAAAAATAAGAAAGAAACCCAGCAATCCTCTAAGATGCGAATCACGTACTATGAGAGACAAACAATCAACAAAACAATATCTGCCACAAGCAAACTGAGACAAGGCACCTTTCTATTATGAAGGGACGAACAAAATGGGATTGAGACGAAAAGAGAATTGCGTAAAAAGTGAGACAGATGACGTTATAGAAAATCTTGAATCAATCGTAAAGGGGAACGAAGATATACATGAGCGTAGGGCTGTTATTAAGTATGTACTTTCGATTTTCTATAGGTCGACTACCGTCTCCCCACAGGAAGCGGGTGTACCGGTGGTCGTTGTAGTATTATCAAGGTCTACTAGCAAAAACGGTGGCGTCGCTGGGCCTAATCTCACGGGTGAACTCGATGTCCTGTGTCTGGACTCTAGGGTGAGACCTGTACTCGACATTATCGTAGGCCCGTGTAGGTCGCACAGAACGGACCACTATCCTAGGATTCTTCCAGTCGATGGGAGTAAAGCTACTTGCTCGTCGCGGGAGCGTACGAGGCACTTCTTGGGAAGTTGAGCGGGACTTGGAGGTTTTCGAGGGCTCGATGATGACGGATTCAGGTGCAATCGTGTAGCGGGCGACCCCCTTAGGAGAGGCGCCCCTAGCAGGTATCTCACGGGTGCCAGGGCTAGAGTAGCCCGAGTCGTACCGCCGTCCCGAGGTCTGTGTAGGGATCGACTCTCGGACCATTTTGTCCAACCGGGGCTCTTCGTAGCTAGATATCTCCTGTTCCGGACGAGAGAAGCCGTTCGAGGTCGTAGCGTGGGATGGACGAAGTCGTCGACCGGTCTCAATGGGCACGGCGACTTTGGAGCGATTGATATGATCCTCCGCAGCGTGGCTGAATTGGTCCCACACAGTAGAATCATCTTTGACGAAATCATCCCCCTTGTAGTAGAACCTGCCATTATGGAAGGATAACCGGGTATTTTCGTCGTGCCCCAGGTCATGTGGTAAGGTATTGTCTCCACCAGTCAGGCTTTGGGCTACTCTTTCAATCATTGGCTGCCCCGACATGCCATTCTCTGGTGATGTTGGTTTGCTGTTCCCGGATGTTGCTTTGATAGCAAGATCTTCATCAGTCGACCTATCGCTATCTCCAACCTGCCTACTAAAGACAGATTCTCTACCCACTATTCCTTCGCCTCCAGTCGAGCGCTTATTTAGATCAGGCTGCTCTCCCCCAGGTTGCTCTGCGAGGATTTTAAAGTACTCCCCTAGTATTGACTCCGGTAAAGTGTCCGAAAGAAGTTGATCGGATGCAAGGCCCGCAGGAATGTTAGCATGGTTTGTACCCCAAGGGACCGCGTATATGTTCTGCACTTCTACGTAACCAAGTCAGTCAACTGTTTCTTGTTCATGGGGAATGTTGAAAAGTGATATACCATGTTTATATTTGTCGCCGTAGTGACGACTCATATGTCCTAAAAAGAAAGCCTTAGTATCATTCCTATCCCGTGTGGATCGTGCACTATGCGTGTCACTTACCAACAACATCTGCTCTCTGACTGAATATGTTGCCCATAGAATTACCCTGGTTTCTGCCGATATCCTGCGTCGTGTTTCCTTGTTCTACAAGCTCCCTGGGGTTTGTCTGTTTATCTGGAGCAGGAGTATCGTTCTTTGCATTGAGATGGAATGGGTCGTTGTCGGTCATACTCTGTATCCTATTGCTTTGCGATGTGTCTTTTTCATGCGGTAGCCCTACATTTTCGGGTATTTCGTGTGTTCCTGTGACAATTGGGTTGGCATCCCGTGAGCCAAGGGTGGAGAATATCCCCCCATCCGGTTTGTCTTGTGCGGTTTCGTTCTGTTCCTGACGAGGTTTCGCTTCTTGGAATATCAGTTGATCCAGATAGTCCCATTCAGTGAGACTTTTTGAATCCTTGTTGAGAATTCGACAATCCTGCATACCACCATGCAGCTCATTACTGGGTAGGTCAACGCATTCTTCGATGGCCGATTCTCCAGGAACATGCATAGCAGAGCTAAGGGAAACGGGCACCGCATCAGAATCCGTCTCTGAGTCTTTCCGTATGCTCATAGCAACACGGGGTTTAATTTCATCCTAAATTCCGCTAAGTCAAAGGTTGAGGGCGATCAGAAAAAGAGGAGAGCCTTACCGTGTCCATCTGCATCATATTTCCAGTCAAGGACTCTCGGCTAGAAGGGTTGTGGACTGGTGAATCGCTCCTTTCGTCAGGAGTACTCCCGTCTCCGGGAGGTACGAAGACTGTGGTCTTCATCTCCATCCCTATTTCCATGGAGTCTCTTGGGGCATCAGATGAGATATGCATATGCTCCTCAACAACTGAAGCAAGGTTTCTTGTCGGTTGGGCGGGCAAACTGCCGATTTCCAGATCTTCCACTTCTCGATTCACTTTGAAAGCATGTCAGTCTTGAATGAAGATATCCCATCGTGGAACGTGCTTACCCTTTGCTATCCAATCGCCACTACCGGTTGCAGCCTTAGCCAAAGCATCATGCTTCCACTTGCACGTACCCTGTACATCTGATCGAGTAGCTTGCGTTGTTTGTCTGCCCCGCGGATCTTTTGCACTATTGGGACCCTCGAACGGTTGGTCTGAACGCGATATGGCGGCCCCAGCATCCAGAGGCATTCCAAGGAGCTTGGGCACGAGATGCACAGCCCGAAACACCGAGAGACACTCCCTCCAGGTCTATGAATTGTCCCAAATGGAAGGGTTTACCACCAGCCCTCCCTGTCCGATACCATTGGTCTATTGCCCAATTGCAACCGATGCCACACAAGAACGCGACCGTAGGGAGAAATGCCTCCGGGCAAATGCCGTAAATCGCAGGGAGGAGTATCAGGAAAGCCAAAGCAAAAGGCTTCGCAGGTTGGGAATGTGAACAGGGTATGGTCTGAGTCGTTCCAAGCGCTCTCCCTGAGTGCTGCATACGCGCTAGCCCCCACAAGTGGCGAAGCAGGATGTCGAGCTCCGACATTTCAGATGCCGCCCCAGTAGCCGCTATCCGTGCCTCGAATAATGCATTGCCCAAGTCTTCTAGCTTCCCTGTGAACTCATACGTCTTCACCAATAGAATCGCCAGATTGATCGAGATTCCAGCTAGTAACTGTGTGTCATCCAATGAGACCATCTTCGCGGCCGTGAGCGTGGTAGAGAGAGCCTCCTTCAGGTCCTCCTTTCTCCCTGCACATCCATATCACCTGAACAGCAGCCCTCCCAGGTTATTGAACATGATAGCTAACAATGAACCTTCGCCCTTGGTGGATTGAATGCGAACTGCAGTTCGCATTCTCGAGATCGCCTCTTCCAGATCTTGGCCCTCACCCACCCGCTCGTGTCGACTAGCCAGGATATGGCTAACTGTAGCAAGCATAATAGCTTGATCCGAATCCAGATCAGACACATCATCCAGAGCCCAGAGCGTATACCGGAGAGCTTCATCAAGATCAGACTTTCTGTCCGTACATTCGTATCGCATCAGCCACATAGTGCCAAATTTGGCTAGCATGGGACCCAGGACTGGCCGTGAGTCGTTTTGGGCCAGCCCAATTGCGGTCCGCACGGTAGATATCGCTCTTTCGAGGTCATCTCTCTTTTGACTGTGCAGGTATCGCTGCACGTGCACGTTCCCTCGGCTGGCAAATAACCGGGCCAGATCAGGCACGCTCTGGGGAGTGGAGGCCATTGCTGTTAATTTTTGGCCAACATTTCTCAAGAATGAGGCCCTTGGCCCTAGGGTGCTGTCATTCAGATGGGACGGGATGAATGAAAGAGATGAAGTGAACAAGCAGAGAACTGTATTTTGTATGGCCTTTTCGGCCCGTACCGCTTCCCGTGCTGTGATAAGCCCATACTTAATAACAACACTCCTCCTCGGCGGCTAAACATTTCGTATAACTAGTAACTACACATTATTATTATCATTTTATTAATATTAATATTATTAGCACTTCGCCAAACGCGCCCCCACCAATACCAAATCCCCAGCCTTGCCTGGCCTGGAGGGGGCGGACAAGTCGAGTCTTAGTCAGCAGACACCTGAGGTCCAGCCTGCCTAGGTTACCTAGTCATTATCTGGGGATCTAAACGGGTGCCCTGTATACCATGTCGTTCTGATATATGAAAAGGGATATGAAAGTTTGCAATGATGTTATAGCTAAACTGTGCCCATCTCAGTCTACAACTAGGAGTATGCGAAAACAGATAGTATGGACAAAGAATAAGACTGGGTCATGATAAAGAGGACTAGCATAGCCTGTAACCTCGCAGATGAGGTCAGCAAGAGTGAAGATGTCTTTGAATAACTCAAGATATCGGCGAAGGGATCATACGGCAAGACATCGAACCCCTGAGGTACGTGATCTAACTGGAAGATCCCGCTGCTGGCTGGGGCCAACACCGATAAACGACTATCGATAAGCGTCAATCGATAAAGGATGGCCGATAAGAGAACGATAACAGATAAGGAACCCCCCCGAAATCTTTTATCTTTTTCCTCCGAACATCATCATCGGCACCACCACTTTCTCCTCCTCCTACCTTCTCATCAGCAACGGCACGATGGGTGTCCAGAAGAAGACTCGCAAATTTGCAGTAGCAAAGCGCACGATTCAGCTACGCGACAGTCGCCTGTTAGTCTCCGCTGCTACCATCCCTCTATCGCGCGTCCAGAATTCGTCGTACTCACCAGAGATTTAGGAAAGCGAATGACAAGACAGACAAGAACAACCAAGCCGGGACATCTGGCAAGGATGAGGTGGTCCGAGAAGCGTGAGTCACAATCTTCCCGGGGGATCCTTTCGACTCATGACAGATGCTGATGAAGATGATTCTGGTTTCAGACCTCAGGCTCCCTCCTCCCTCTTTTTCCAGTACAACACTGCCCTCGCCCCGCCTTATTCGGTGCTTGTCGACACCAACTTCATCTCTCATACCATTCAGCACAAATTGGAGATCATTCCGACCATGATGGATTGCCTCTATGCCAAATGCATCCCCATCATTACCGATTGTGTTCTTGCAGAGTTGGAAAAATTGGGACAAAAGTACCGTCTGGCCTTGCGCGTCGCCAAAGACCCACGATTCGAGCGAATCAAATGCGACCACAAGGGAACGTATGCAGATGACTGTCTGGTTGATCGTGTCATTAAGCACCGTGTCTACATCGTTGCCACCAACGATCGTGACCTCAAACGACGTATTCGGTAAGCCTTTGACTCCTCGAAGCCTGCTTCATCGTACAATATTTCTGATACCCATACTAGCAAGATTCCTGGTGCGCCGATCATGAGCGTCGCTCGTGGAAAATACGTTATTGAAAGACTACCAGACGCCCCCGAGAAGTGATGATGATTTGTGTATGCCCTCCAAGTACCTCGTGTCAAACCAACTCCCCGCTCGGAGCTGCTTCCCATGAAATCTCCTGTTGGTCCTGGATGAAGCTCAGTGAGCAGTTCGTGCCAACAGTGCTTATACTCTTAGTCGTGCCGAGGGGATGATTAGCCCACTGACAAAGTTATGGTTGGCTCATTCAGAGGTCGACGATATCTTGCGATTCGGCAAATTGGCGCTCTAGTCTATGATCCGCATTCCGCTGGTCGCTTCCCACTTCATTCCATCCACTACAGATGTTTCCAACGTGCCTTTAAGAAGGTTGCGAATATGTCCTCTCTTGCCTTGAATGCCGGGGTTTTCGTGATCTTAGCGATGCTTTTTTTCTTTTTCTTTTTCTTTTTCTTTTTCTTTTTCCATCTGGGTTTTGTTGTGGCCAATCCCTTGTGTATATGTATATAGAGTTGGGATCGAGGGAATTTGATCATGTGCGCCATTGCGTGACATTTACGATCGGCCGTTGATTCATCCATATGTCGTAATCAGTTGATAGACCGAGCGATGGGCAAGCTGGCCGATTGAGAATTTTTGGATGATTTCTCGACGTGATGGTAGAAGACTGTATAAAGGGGGTAGGCTGTTTAAAATGAGCCGACTCGAGCCCAGAAGATCATCATCGGGTAGGAATCGTAAGAGTTGCTGTAACATTCGAAGTGAATATAAGACGGCGTGAATCTGGGCGAGAAGGTGAACATCTACCCATTCAGTTCCTTGCCCAAGGAATCCTTTGGTCAGGAATCTCTCTAACTGGACGGCGCTTGGAAGCGAGGTCTGGCTGGAGGGATCACGATAGATTTCAGCCACTGCAAACATCACCCAGAAGGTTGACTGATCGTCGGCCCCAAAAACATTCTGAGCAAGGTCGAGACGTTTTTGGAGCGTTGAGAGGTCCGAAATCACGGTCTTTGAGCCGCCTAGCATGATTTGCTCGGCGATAATTCGAGTTCCTCGGCGGACAAATTCGTAGACGGTAGTAAATTGCCTTGTCCGCGGATGAGCCTGGTTAAGGAGAGAGTAGCCCAAGGTCCGATAAAAGCGACCTAATTCCCATGCACATCGCCGCGAATGGTCCTCGAAGAGAATTCCAAGGTATATGTGCGGTTGGTCGGCTTCACAAAAGGCATCGGGGAGCTTGTACTGCCAGACGAGCTCTGATACTCGAGCGTCCAAATTCTGACCGTAGGTACCGCCTTGGACTGCCAAGGGTCGATTGATGTCAGGCTGGTATTCTCGAAGAAAATGATGATATTTTTCAAGGTTCTTCGTCATCTCTTGGTTATCCTTGGACCGGCGGAGGAGTTCTGAGAAACCAAGATGGGGGTTCTCGTTCAACTCGTAGGCGAAACGCGGGATGTTGATAATCCCCAGTCGATGGGCGAGATCGCTGGGATGCAATCTCATAGCGCTAATTTTTGGATGGGCTGTATCTTCAGGGTCCTCGACCGATTGCACGGAGTTTAAAAATACAACTGAACCGTGCGACCCCAGATCATGGACTATCAAGTCCGAGTCGTTTGTGAGAATGGCCGAACCAGTGAGCTTTGACACAAGGGCGCACTCTACGTCTGCCTCCCCTGGAACCATGACGGTGATCTCCACCCAGGGATAATCGCCGTTTGGAAGATGGCTCGGGTCACATTGAGTCTCTTGCAGGATCTGCTCTCTATTCCATCGAGTCCGCAGATCCTCGAAGACCGCAGAGACCATAAAGGGGTTCTCCGGGAGATTTCTCCAACGTGCAGGGAGATTTTGCCCCTGCCACAGCTGCCTGGGAGGGAGGATCACCTCTTTACGCCACTCATTGCTTGAAGTGGGAGCTCTGCGGCGAGACAGCTCTAGTCGATGCCTAGACTTTTCAATTCGTGCTCGTCGGGTTTCTCGCTTGGAGACAGGGAGAGCCCCATCGAAACAGATTTTGTGTCTGGAGTATGGATCAGCACGGGCAAGAGATACAAAATAAAAAGAAAACAAAAGTAGCAGGCCAAGTGAAAGTAGGAGGATGGAAGTCTGCCTGTAATTCGGGATGATTTTACATTTCGATGCCTTGGCGATGCAATTCCAAAAGGCAGGTCACTACCGCTCGACTCACTTCGTTGCAGGTCGGCTGTACATCGAGCACGTCATGCACTGGGCTCATCCAGGCGAGCAATCGGTAGTAGACATGGTATACCAGACTTGGACCGTCAATCACTACCGACCGCACTCGAGGGGTCTCGTCAAGCTTCTGGTCATCCGATCCCCCGCCAAGCAGGACCGAATCGGCGTAGGGGAGAAGATGCTTGGTCAGGTAGGGAATTCCCATGACCAGCGAAGTATCGCTAGATAGGATACACGAATCAAAGGAGAGGATATAATTGGAGATTATAGACAAAGAATCGATGAAGAGGGGGGGATGGTGCGGTGCTGGGTCGAGTGGATTTTGACGGCTGCAGAATTTGGGGACGCTCGAGGGAAGTGGTCTCCACCAAGTCCCATGCCCCCTACCTTTAAGGTAGTCAAGTCTATCACAATACTTGATCAACTACCAACCATATAATAGGTCCGTATATCATTTTTCATCAAGGATAAATAAAAGTGCAGTCTAGCTCGTAGGGTCGCTACTGGTATCTCATCAATGTGACATGTATATGACTGAGGCCAAAGAGTAGAATGTGCAATGTTCCTAATTTACACGCCGTTTGATCCATAGACATTATAGACAGATCCATCCTTCCTATCTCACTTCCTCTTCTAGCCCATCAAAGTGCATTAGCGGGCAGACCGGAGGAACCCGGCGACACCCCGGCAGTATCCCACAAGACTAGCCAAACGCTCGCCTTCTTGCTGTTGCTCGCGAGCCCAGGAGGTCAGAGCCTCGCGCAGGAGTCGGTACTCAGGCTCATCTCGATGGGAGCAAAGCCCCACCGTGTCTGCGTGGATCTTCAAGAACACGGCCATCCAGGCGTTGACCAGCTCGAAATCCCTTCGCAACTTGAGCCGTGCGGTGAGAGCCTGGACAAAGACCGCCAACTCCGAAAAGCCATTGCGTACCCGGGGGTCCAGAGAGCGAATCTCCAGATCAGCCCGGGCGGGTGACAGAGACTTCAAATGCTCAACCAGCGGGTCAAATGCCCTGTAGCGATGTCCAGACTCCAGCAACCGCGTGATGGGAGACTCAGAGGAGCCAAGAGCACCGGACTGGATTTTGGAGACGCGGGAACGTTCAGCCTCGGCGCTTTGAGTGAGAGCTTCCAACTCCGCTGCATCGGCCGCGGCAGCGTCTTTAGCGGCCTGCGAGCTTCCGGAGCCGAGAAGGGAGGGAAGGAAAAAGGGCGCCTTCTCGGGGGCCTTTGGTGCTTCCTTCGGACGATTGCGTTCCTGTAATATCGTCAATCAGCTACGATCCTAAATGCACCACCGGTTGAAGTACGGAGGGGGAGTAGGGAAAACATACCCGAATAGAGTCAAGGTGAAGCAGTGCCTGCCATCTGCTCTTGGGAACCAGACTCAGAGTCACCATGTCCTTCTGGAGCTGGTCAGTTGCCAGCACCGGTCCATCTGTCTCGTCCACTTCCGGTGCATCCACAAATGCCGCTTCAACAAGACCTGCGCCGCTTTCACCAGATGAGGTAGGCACACTGACGTCCTCAATGGCATCCTCATCTAGGTTCTTTGTGGAGATGGGCATGAACAGACTGCGATTGCTCCAGAGGCTGATTCCAATGCTTCCAGCATGGGCCGTGGCAAGGAACTCGCCGGTCGAGGACATCGCCAAGGAGACGCATGTACTCGATACTCGGAAGATATCGATGAGATGCCCTGTAGGCAGATCCCAGACTCGGATCACGGAATCCATCGAGGCAGCCACGATCCACCGTCCATCATTGGAGAAGATGAAGTCATTGACCTGGCCGACACAACCCCAGAACTCACGAACAAGCTTCCGGGTCTCGAGGTCGACCACACGGATGGAGAGGTCATCACAGCTAAAAGCGACCAATTCACTAGTCTTGCTAAATCGGAGCCCTGTGATCGCCGCCATGGGGTGCCAGTCTAGCTGGTCGATCAAGGTGCCTTTGAGAAGATCCCAGAACTAATAATCAATTGAGAGATGAGGTCAGCGAAACCAAGTACGAAAAATGAGATGGAGATAACAACGGAGAGCGCACCTTGACCTTGCCATCTAGACCGCAGCTGATCACCGTCCGATTCAAGTTGTCAATCATGAGACCCGTGACAGCCTTGGTATGCTTCGTGGCCGAGTTGTCCGCAATTTGCACCTTGAGTTTACGGGGTTTGGGCAAGGGAGGAGGGAAACTTTGGCGATGCAGACCCGACTGCATGTTGAACATGTCGATTGCACCCCCGGCCGATCCGATAACTGCAAATGTGCCACATTGAGACATTGCGACGCTCTATACACGGAGGAGAAACCCCATCCTCTGGTTAGTGACACTTATTCCCATATGAAACGATACAAGTGAGTGAACACCGCATACCTTGACTTCCGTTCCATCGCTGGTCGCAAACGCCCAGCGTCCCGCCTTCTTCTTGCCCCAGAACCAGGTGCGAGCATGCTTATCGCCCCGATGACCGGTGACGACGCTCTCCCAGCCGGTAGCATTTGAGGCATCGGTGCTGCCGAATTTGGGGTTGGACCAAACTGGGCCCGAGGTGCTGACACCCATTCCACCGTCACGGTTGAGCGAGCTTGCGATGCAGGTGACCTCAGGCGCCTTGAGTGTCTCGGCTGAGGTCGCGTTGGACTGGTCCGATGGCCCCATCTTCTTGGCCCTGCGCTCCAGGTTACCCTGGGACAATTCTGCGTTCTGACTGTCCTTTCGAAGACTAAGTCCCCACATGCTACAGTCTTTGCTGGCACTGAGAAGCCACTTCCCGCCGGATTCAGATCCATCCGAAGACGCTGGGAGGAAGTCGACGGTGTTTACAGCAGCCGAGTGCCCAGCCCGGGAATGCAGCGGCCGTGGAATGGGCGAGAATGGGGTCTCGTCAAAGATCCATGTCTTCAGAGCGTTGTCATCCCCGGATGAGACCAACACGGGTTGGCCATCCAAAAATTCGACTCGATTCACACCCATGGCCGCTTCAGTCTTTGAAACTCGGTGAGCACCTCGAAGAATGCCCGCCACACGACCACCCTTGTTCAGATCCCACAAGGTAATATCGCCAGTTCCACTGGCGGCCGTGGCCATCACGCCGGCCATCCGGCCATCATGGCCCGCACCAAGCCCATCGGTTCGGAAAGAGATCGAAGTCACCGGGGCTGCTCGAGCGGCGCTGGTTCTCAGTGACAAGACCAATTGACCAGAGTCGACATTCTGAATCGCCAAGGAGCCATCCTTGTGAGCAATGGCGAGGAGCGACAAGGCCGGGGTTGGCTGCATCGCCGTCACAGGTCCCGTCTGCGATGAAGCGGATGGTGGCTGGAGCGTGTGGAGGAGCTTCCCGCTGCGTAGATTCCAAATATCGACTCCTCCATCGTTTCGGCCGACGAAGACCTTGTTGAGATAGGTGGGCACGTTGCACATGATGCCGGAGTAGACCCGATCCTCCGACGCGCCAAGACTCGGCCGGGGTCGCAGGCTCGCGTAGTGCTCGTAGCTGCCCGTCTTCCACACTTCCAGACCACCTGCCCAGCAGCCAACCACCCATGATCCGAAGACTGCAAGCCGTTCAATGGGCGCGTCGAGTCCAGGGCTGTCGAACGATGCTACCCGTTTCCCACGCTTGAAAACCCAGATGCCACCGGGCGACCGAGGCCGGAGGTGGCCCCAGGCCGCAAAGACCTTATCTTGCCAGGCATAGGTGGCTGTGATGGACTCGGGAGTCTGCGGTCGGGTCAGGAAGATGAGATTCAAGCCTTTGCGCACATCGTAGGTCTGCAGGGAATGGCCGACGGAAGTGGTGATTTGAAAGGTAGATTTGCCCAGGCGCACGCAGGTAAAGGGAACCGATGTTGGTGACACAAGTCCTAGGGTCTGTTATAGTCGTAAGAGAAAAGAAACCCCCAGTCAGTCTACAAAGAACATTCAAGAATTGGAGTCAGACCGAGAGCCATGAAAGGACTTGGGTCGGCTACAACTTGGATCCCAAACGTACCCGATATGGCGCGAAGATCTTGGAGCCTCCGCGCGAGGATCCGGGAGAATTTTGGTCAATGACCGTCTTTTGCCTCTTTGCCAGAGGCAAATCGAACGTATCGCTTGCCAACGCCGGCATGATGTTGTTAGTCACGGGCTGTGGTTGATCATCATGTCTCTTTTTTTTTGGAGTGGTTTTTTTTCTGCGGAGCTTGAGCCACACCGCCTTCCGTCACGATCAGCAGTACATCTTTTGGAGTGACTCGTACCCGGTCCGGAGGACATCCTACTCGAGACCGTATAGGTCCTTTGAGTGTAATTTGGTTTGGGTAAAGAGATCAAAAATACTTTATCGCAAAGAGGATATTCCAACGACTATATCCTTTGTATATTTGGAAGACAAGAATTATCACCGGATTAAATCATAGCTACAGGATTCCACGCTCGTCTATGAAAAAAGCAAGTATACTTCGTATACTAATTAGCAAGCAGTACGGGCCCTAGTGCGAGTCTCTTTCTTAGTTTATGTGGACCGAACGTACGATTCTTCTCCGACTCTCTCTTTCTTTTTTGGGGTATATAGTTTCCCCGATCGCTTAATACTACAATCCCATCCGCCAATGAACCACCCTCTGGGGACTTGAATCATGACCGAGAGGCTGCGGGAGTCTCCGCTTCCAGAGAAATGCATCCGGAGAACCAGCAAACCGGAAAAACTTTCAGCTCGACCTTTTCCACCGCCATAAACCGGACCATGTCTTGAGAACTCGAACTCATCCTCGAATGTAGCGCTCTGATTTCATTCACTCGTTTCCATAAAACTCTCCTTCGAAAGCAGACTCCCCATCTCCGATTCCAACCCCCACCTCAACACCCCTCCACTTCAGCTCCTCCACTTTCGTTATCGCCACACCGCAATCATCATCCACCCGCCGTTTCCTTCCCGCCCATTTTCCTCTTCCTCCTCCTCCGTGTGCGCTTCAGGCCATGGATCCCGACAATGGCCATCCGAGCGCCTCGCTCACCGATGCGCCCTCATTCAAGAATACTATCGATAACACCTCGAGCCTAGGCTCGTCAGTGCCGCCACCGTTGGAGCTGGATCAGGAAGCAAAAGGCCATTTCCCTGCAGAATCTTTGACGCCAACTCGACTCCAGGGCCAAACCTCTCCCGTGAAATCGGCGAGAACGGACACAATGCAGGATGCTCGCTCGAATACCAGGATTGGCCATGCCACTCGCTCATCCAGTCAGGCCCGCCGGCGATTCAGTGGCAGCACGGCTGCCAGCTCCATTAGCGAAATGGAGTCCACCGGTCCGAAACCCTGGCGACTTGGTGTATGTGCCCTGGATGTCAAGGCCCGCAGCAAGCCCAGCCAGAATATCCTCACCCGCCTCCAATCCAAGGGTGACTTCGAGGTCATCGTGTTCGGTGACAAAGTCATTCTCGATGAAGCCGTGGAGAATTGGCCTGTCTGCGATTTCTTGATCGCCTTCTTCTCTGATGGATTTCCTCTCGATAAAGCGATTGCATACGCAAAATTGCGGAAGCCATTCTGTGTCAATGATTTACCCATGCAGAAGGTATTGTGGGATCGACGACTCTGTCTAAGAATTCTCGACCAGATGGGTGTCCCCACCCCCAAGAGGTTGGAGGTGAACCGAGATGGCGGGCCAGTTTTGGAATCGACGGAGCTGGCACAACATATCCACCACTTGACCGGCGTCAGACTAGAAGGACCGGAAGATGGAACCGGTGGAGGTGCCCCAAGAACGCAGCACGTTTCGATGTCTGAGGATGGAGAATCCTTGGTCGTGGACGGTCAGGTCTTCCGGAAACCGTTTGTGGAAAAGCCGGTCAATGGCGAAGATCACAATATCCATATCTACTTTCCCAATGACCAACAGTATGGTGGTGGAGGCCGGAAGCTCTTTCGCAAAGTCGGCAACAAGAGTTCCGAGTACGACCCAGACATGTCTGTACCACGGTCAGTCACCGAGAAGGAGACTAGTTATCTTTATGAACAGTTCCTGCGAGTCGACAATGCCGAGGACGTCAAAGCATACACGGTTGGGCCTGACTTCTGCCACGCGGAAACGCGCAAATCCCCCGTGGTTGATGGTCTCGTTCGACGCAATACCCATGGGAAAGAGCTGCGGTATATCACCAAATTGAGTAAAGAAGAAGCGGCTATTGCCTCGAAGATCTCCAACGGTTTCGGGCAGCGGATCTGCGGCTTCGATATGCTTCGCGTGGGAGACAAGAGCTATGTCATTGATGTCAATGGCTGGAGTTTTGTCAAGGACAACAACGATTACTATGACAAGTGCGCTCATATCCTACGGGATACTTTCTTGGCAGAGAGGCGCAAGGGTGAGGGGGCCCCAGAGCCATCAGAACCACCATCTCCAGATTTGGGCACATCCCGACGCAGTACGGCAGGGTCACATCGTCAGGCGCTCAAGACCTTGCTCAAGTCGCCAAGTACGTCCAGACTTTATGGAAGTCAAAGCGTACAGAAACCCCACGAATCCACTGCCTCGGATGTGTCTACCGGTGCGCCATCAACTGCGTCTTCTACCGGTCCAATAGAGGGTGTGGATTTGGCGGGCAACCCGATCAACCCGACTTCTCGGGAGACTCGCTCAGACACGCGCGGATACAGTCCTTCCAATACCAAGTCTCCTGCCGTGTCCATCCATCAAACCGGCGATGGCTCCGCTCCTCCTCTCCCGGCATCTAAACACTCATGGAAACTGAAGGGCATGGTGGCAGTCATTCGTCATGCCGATCGCACTCCGAAGCAAAAATTCAAGTTCACCTTCCACACTCAACCTTTTGTCGACCTACTCAAGGGCCACCAGGAAGAAGTCGTGATTAAAGGAGAGGCCGCACTATCCAGTGTTTCCGAAGCCGTGAAGATCGCCATGGAGCAGGGACTGGAGGACATGGAGAAGCTGAAGCTGCTCCGCACTTCCTTGGACAAGAAGGGTGGTTGGCCTGGCACGAAAGTGCAAATTAAACCAATGTTCCGCAAGCGTAGGCCAGAGGAGATGCGAGAGCCAGGCTCAGCTACGACGCCTACCGCGCCAGTCGCTGGCGAAAGCATTCCGAAGGAGCCTCTTTCGCCGGTGGCCGGTGAGGCAGGGGCTGAAAATGAGGCCTTGCGCCGGTCTCAGACCCGAAGCGATTCGATTTCTGGCGCCACATTCTCCCGTTTTTCTGCGGTGGAAAATGACCTGATTCTTGATAAACTGCAGCTTGTTATCAAGTGGGGAGGAGAGCCCACACACGCTGCGCGATACCAATCCCAAGATCTTGGCCTGAACATGCGGGATGATCTTAAGCTGATGAATAAGGAAGCATTGAACAATGTTCGACTTTTCACAAGCTCCGAACGGCGAGTGAGCACAAGTGGTAAGTTTATCCGCTTCCACATTCCTCAATTCCCATACTCTGTCTTGGCAACCACATTGGGGACCACGTATTTCTCTGTACTGACGATATTCGACTAGCTCAAATCTGGGCGTGCTCATTCCTTGACCAAAAAGAGATTCCGGAAGACTTCATCCAAGTTCGAAAGGATTTGCTGGACGATTCTAACGCTGCGAAAGATGTCATGGACAAAGTCAAGAAAAAGCTGAAGCTTTTGTTGCGGGAGGGCTCTGCACCGTCTCAGTTTGCATGGCCCAAAGACAGCAACATTCCCGAGCCCTCTGTTGTCCTTGCTACTGTGGTTGAACTGATGCAGTTCCATCGAAGTGTCATGCGACACAACTTTGAGAAGCTTGAAGCATCTTCCCTGAAGAATGACGAGGAAGGACAGGTACCGAGCCAGCAGGACGCCACATCGGATGAGCCAGATTTTTCCAGTGTTCAAGGTCGCTGGTGTGCAGGAGAGGACCCACGATTGTTCAGAGAACGCTGGGAGAAGCTCTTTGCCGAGTTCTGCGATACAGAGAAGGTTGATCCCAGCAAGTTATCCGAACTTTACGATAGTATGAAATTCGACGCACTTCATAACCGACAGTTCCTGGAGTGGGTCTTCATGCCGCCGGACGAGGAAGACGACCGATCCAGTGTCAAGGGCCGAAGCCCCTCCAAGTCCGACTCGACCTCCGAAAGTAAGGCCGGATCCGAGCCAGCCAGCGACAAGGCCGACGAACGCGGCGAAAATCAGACGTTTGCGCATCGCTTCAATTTGAAGAAACGACTGTACGCACTCGAATCGTTGCCTCATCTCCGTGCTCTGGACGATTCCTACGACCACTACTTCAAGCTGTTCCCTGGCTCCACCTCCACCAAGTGCAAGATAGATGAGCGCCTCTCGAAGCTTCGAGAGCTATACAAGCTAGCGAAGGTCCTGTTTGACTACGTCACGCCCCAAGAATACGGCATCACCGACAGTGAGAAGTTGGAGATTGGCCTTCTCACCTCTCTCCCGCTTCTACAGGAGATTGTGCACGATCTTGAAGAGGTTCAGGCTTCTGATGATGCCAAATCCTTCTTCTATTTCACCAAGGAGTCCCACATCTACACTCTGTTGAACTGTATCCTAGAGGGTGGTATGCAGACCAAGATAGCTCGCCGTGCCATTCCAGAGCTCGACTACCTGTCCCAAATCTGCTTCGAGCTGTACGAGTCCCGGGACAGTGAGAATGAGATCAACCCATACTCCTATTCTATCCGGATTTCGATCAGCCCTGGCTGCCACGCTTTCGACCCACTTGACGTGCAGCTCGATTCCCGGCACGCCATCGGCTGTGCCCCGCGACGCAGCCTCACTGCCCACCATGATTGGAAAGAGGTGATCGAGACGCTGAAGGCAAAGTTTGACACGTAAGTAAACCATCGCAGACATTCCGTCCTTGTCGTTCCAGTTCTTATTAACATTTCGGGATTAGTGTTGAATTGCCAAAGTCATTCATTGCAGTGAATCTGAGTGACAAGCATGTCGCCTCTCTGCCGGGGGATCAGGAGGACTCATAGTTGCTCTAGACAAGGTAGCCTGAGTTGAGTGGTATTCTTCTTTCTTCACGTTTGGGTTTTCGAGACTTTCTCGACCCCGCTATGTATCCTTAAGTCGCTGTTTACTGTTTACTATTGGGTGGGTACATTTTTGTATCAGTTTTATGTATATTTCCCTGGCTTTTTCTTTGCTTGGGTGGAGGGGAATCATTGCTAAAGGCTAGAGCATGCGAAAGTGGCTCATGTAGAATTCGAGAACAGAGATTCTAGAAAGTGTATGCGCAATTCACTGTTATTTTCATGACTATTCAGCTTTGTCCAAGTAAATGTTTTTGTAGGGTATAATTCCATGATGTATATCCTACGTCGAAGTTGTGTCTTTCTTTGGTGTAGTTACATCGGGGACTGCACCAGGATTAGCTTACTTGTGGCCCCTCCCAAGGCCCCCCAAGTCCGCCCGCTCATCCCACAATTTGCAACTTGTCTAACTCTCATGCAAACGGTATGGCACCTTTCGAATCATCGGACCAGACCATCGATGGGTGCTCTGTGGATGTGGCTGCAAGCTCCCTGAGCTGGGTCTCTCCAACGGGAAGCGATCGCCAGGTTGACTTCAAAGATATTGTGGGTGTGGTGCGGAACTCAGACTCATCACCCGGGTATCGCGTACTGTATCTCAAGAGCATTCCAAGCGAGGAAGAAAATAATGAGTCCATCATTCGCCTTTCAAAGCTCGACATTGTGTCTCTTCCCGCGGGCTTGTCCCCATTCCTCGTGGACCTCCCAGGCCACCTTCGACGAGAAGAGCCCGTCCAGGTCGTGATATCAACCCGGAGTGGCACGGGTACGGCGAAAGCTGTCTTCCAGGACATCGTGGAGCCGTTTCTTCAATATTTGGGACTTGAGTACCGAGTCTATGAAACGCAGTCAGCTCAGACCATTCTTGAACTTTCCCGATCGCACTTCCTGAAGAACGCTTGCGCGGGGATTCCCCAGACTATCCTTTTGCTATCCGGCGATGGAGGTCTAGTCGACCTCGTCGATGTCTTCTACAAATCTACCAAAACTCTTCAAGTCGCTCCAGATATTGGTTTAATTCCCTGTGGAACGGGAAATGCCATGGCTAGCTCCATCGGATTACGATCTGGTCCAGCCTCTGGCCTCCGCGCCTTACTCCGGGGTCAGCCTTCTTCAGTCCCAGCCTTCGCCGCTAGTTTCTCCCCTGGCAGCCAGCTCGTGGTTGACGAAGGCAGAGAGCACGCACCGATTGACCTTCAGTCGGATGGCTCGTCTCTAACGATCTACGGCGCGGTAGTGGCTAGTTGGGGGCTCCACGCCGCACTGGTTGCCGACAGCGATACTGCCGAATATCGAAAATTTGGCTCTGAGAGGTTCAAGATGGCCGCGAAGGAGCTCCTCCACCCAGCCGATGGCACATCTCCTCATCGCTTTCAGGGCCAGATTTCGTTAACCACTGTGGACCAGCGGACGGGGGAGCAGAGCCAACAAATCCTCAAGGAAAACGAGCATATGTATGTGCTCGCCACTCTAGTCCCCCGCCTGGAGAAAGATTTCCTGATCTCCCCCGACACGGAGCCCTTGGGTGGGCAAATGAGATTCCTACGCTTTGGGCCCTTGTCTGGAGACGAGGCGATGCGTCTTATGATACTGGCGTATCAAGGCGGACAGCATGTACATGATGAGTTGGTTACCTATCAAGAGGTTGAACGGGTTCGCATCGACTTCCGCGAAGATCTGGAACGGTGGCGGCGTGTTTGTATCGATGGAAAGATAGTCGCCGTTGATCAGGGGGGTTGGATGGAGCTTTCCAAGGAGCCGCGACATCTTTTGAATATTATCAAGCCGTGCGAGTGATGGCTGGTGTTGAGGAATCCATAGATGTATATAGACCCCTTCCGCATGACTATTCTAGAATCTTTTGTTATAGAAAGGTAGTTCTGTACTACCGGATTAAGAACTAGATTTAGAAGATCTGTCCGACAAAGACTAATATTTCATCTACTCCCTTTTGGCGGGGCATTGAGATAATAGATTTAGGATTACATATCAGAACATAAAATGCGCAGCTTGGCTCCACAATAAAGGGGTTTAGATGCCCTGGTCGCCCGAGGAGTCCGGGTCTTCTACGTGCTAATGCGCCTCTAGTACAAAAACAAGCACATGTTGCACTATAGATACAGTGAAACAAGATCAGATGCATAGATGCAGTGCAGTATCCATAGGGCTTGAACGACTTCCGGCGTTTGTTAGCTAAACCCTGAAATCTGCCACCAATCGCTCCATTCGTAAAATCCTTCTTAATTTTATCATCCCCTTTGGGTTAGTATTTTCTATTCTACTTCCTTCTCTTACCGAAATAGTTCTGGACGGGAACGGACCTGCAAGGGTCAAGACCATGCTGGGAAGTTTACTGACTTTTGAGGCCTAGTCTTGAGTTCTTGAAATAAAAAAAATCGTATCTGAAATATGATCACAAGATGTAACCCTCGAAGGTCCAATATGGTCAAAACCTCTTGATTACAGTTTGAAGCATTCCAAACCACAATGTAATTAAAGCACTAGGAAGCAGAAAGATCGCGCGAGCCTCCATTGCGCCGACGTCAACGGGGATCGTGGGACAAACCTCATCTCGACGAACAAATTTGGTGACGGATTGGTCTGGTACAACACTGGACCTAAGAACGTGGATAGTAGTGGCTACGAGTGGGTGGCTCGGGGAGCACTGTACATGGGTACCGGGCTGGCGGCTGTATGTATTATCCGGATTTTCTAGGAAATGGCAGGACAGACATGCACTGTATGACAGGGACATTCACGAATCAAGCCGAGACATGGTTCAACGAGTACGATGCCGACTATCAAAGGGACGATCTGGACAGCTTGGACGACCCTCATCTGTTTCTGCAGCCCGATAAGGATAGTATCTCTCTATAGCCTAAGCGCTATTTAGTGCAGGTTCTCACTATTGATATTTAATGTTACGATATAATTAAGGAGTTTAAGTAATTAAGGCTAAGAAGTTGAAGGAGGGCTAGTACAAGTTCGTTGGGTGTATGACGGAGGTCCATTTGAAACCAAAAGCCCCACTAGACCTTTTAAAATAGATCATGAAGATTGCAAGTATAAGCATAAATTAAAGCCGCTGGTTTTATTCATTACGAGACCTATACAACTTCAAAGTTGAAGACGTCGAAAAGCCTAGGCACAGCCGAAAGACCCAGAGCAGGTACAAAAGGGGAGTCTGCGGGCGTGATCGTCCGTCAGTACCTCAGAAACCATTTCCCGCTCACATGCTCAATCTTCCAACTACCTCACGGTCATCACTGTTCTGCCCTCATGTGCGCTCACAGCCAAGCCGAACCTGCGATTTTCCTCGCGTACTATTAGGTCATGGAACGATCCACCGAATCCGATGCTCATAACCCCCCGAACGTATTCCGCATCGCAAACCCCCGACCAAACAGCGGCTGCTAGCCGCACTGAAGGCGCACCCCGTTTCTATACGCTTGCTGGGTGGCGCCAGAGCCCTGTGGAAGATAGTCCGACTGCCGATATGCTGTTGGTTCACCAGACTGGAACTGTACGAGTCGGGGAGATTATTCGGTGGGTGCTCCAGGTATTCCGTTGTCTCCAGGCCCTGTCCCCCGGACATGCCGGAGATGGCTATCACCAGCGGCCCTGCGTGGCCACCAAGTGGTCGTACAATGAGAGAAGCTAACAAAACGCCTTTGGAATTCTCAGATATACCTTCACCTATACCCCTGCGGCTGATCCAATCTTGCCTATCCCTTCCGAGCTTCATGTGAGAGTGAAGAATACCTCCGCGATCCCCCTCCGCGCCGCCTATCTCCACGGCCCATACACTCTGTACACCGCCTGCTACCCTTCTACATTCGATCCAAACGCCAAATATGATCACCAGGATACCGAGGGTGTCCCCCAATTTGAGCCGTACCTCAAGGCGGGCGGCAACTGGGATGCAACTATCAAGATGCCCACGCGCTTCGGGGACTCACACAACCTCGCCGTGGGTCACTTGGGGCCAGAGAGTGATCGGACCATAACGTGGGTAATTGAAATCGTGTCTCAAGTCATATTCTCGAGCAGTGCTGCGGTCCATTTTGAGTTGTTGGTTGCCCGTGACGCCAAATCCATCGAGTACTTCTCCGCCGGTGGCTCCGCGACTGGCCATGGACCCCCAGGCAAATTACAGGACCATTGGCCTATGGGATCCACAAGGGGACAGTCCATCATTGCCACCAAGGGGGTGTATTCGACATCCACTAAACTGCGTGTCGACGATACGAGCAGCTTGTGGAACAGCCCCCCACTACCATCGTGGACCTCCGACGCGGATGCCACACCGGAGCAGACCGACTCTAGTGCTCAAGATTCTTCGCCTGAAGCCACGGGCAGCACGACTAAGGCCAAGCGAAAGAAGAAGAAGAAGGTCCATCTGGTGGTGATTACCCATGGATTGCATAGTAACTTAGGCGCGGACATGCTTTATCTGAAGGAAAGCATCGACGCTGCTGCTGCGGCTAAGAAGAAGAAGAAGGATCGCTCTGAAGAAGGCGACAAGAGTGAAGACAGCACTGTCAATGACGAAGATGAAGACGACGAGGAAGTCATCGTTCGAGGATTCTCCGGCAACGCCGTTCGCACCGAGAGGGGCATTCAATATCTGGGCAAACGCCTGGCCAAGTATGTTCTATTGATGACATACCCAGATCAGCCGTATTATCCTTTGAAGACTGGAAAGACAAAGTCATTTCCTCGCCCATTCAGTGCTCGCAAGGACCAAGCTCAGCCACCCCTCGAGCCGCTTTCATCCTCGGCGAATCATGAGGATGGCACGAATGACGATGACCATGCCTACCAAATCACTAGCATCAGCTTCATCGGGCATTCTTTGGGTGGCCTGATCCAAACATATGCTATCGCGTACATACAGAAGCATTCGCCCGAATTCTTTGAACGAATTCAACCCGTCAATTTCATTGCCCTCGCATCTCCTTTCCTCGGTCTCAGCAACGAGAACCCTCTGTACGTGCGATTTGCCCTAGATCTGGGCTTGGTCGGACGGACCGGACAAGATCTTGGACTCAGCTGGACACCACCAAAGGTACGCAGCGGCTGGGGTGCCATCATTGGTGGCCGAGGAGACGCGGCAAAGGACCAAAGCCAGGCGGACCCAGGATCCAAACCGCTGCTGCGTATCTTACCCTGTGGCCCAGCGCACGAGGTGCTTCAAAAGTTTCATCATCGGACTGTGTACTCCAACGTGGTCAATGATGGGATTGTTCCCTTGCGCACGTCGTGCCTTCTTTTCCTCGATTGGCGAGGTCTGGACCGAGTTGAGAAGGCGAGAAGGGACAATGGTATTGTGGGCACGATGGCTGAATGGGGTTGGGCCGAATTGACTGGGGCTAATTCCAAGTCTCCACGACTAGCTCGCCCTGATGAAATTCCACGCTTGGGTGGAGGCCAAGGTGGGCCGAAGGACAGGTTTACCAGCGTTACGGACCAGACACAACCTGTACAGGAGAATGAAGAGCTTGCTCAGCCTGAAGAGGTGTCTTCACCGGCTCCCGGGCAATTCCTTGCCAGGCGAAAATCCTCCCTGCAAGCAAGTAGCTTGGGGACAGAGTCGTTACACAAGGACGTCTCAGGCAATGATTCGGGGCCTTTCAGCAGCCTTCTCGCCTTCTTCCGCCCCAAGGAGCCAAAGCAACACCAGCCTAGTGGCAAGCATGCTAAGATCTACAAGCGCAGCCAGACTCTCGCATCGTTTGACCCCAACAAGTCACCCGCACCTGTGGTTCGTGGAAATTCTCTGTATGAAGAAGACATCGGGGTCAATACGCCTCCTAAGACCACGTTCTTCGAGTCAGCAGGGGACTTATTGATGCCACCTCTGCCCCCGGCTGACTTCATCCTGGACCCTGCTGCCCGGCCTCGAACCATTTTCCATGACCGCATCTACCATCCTGAAGATATTCCCGCTCCACTACCAGTGAAGCGGCGAACCCTGACATTCTCCTCATTACAACCTAAGCATGCGAAAACCGCACCTCCTCAAGCGACGCAGATACCGGCTAGTTCTACCCCCAACGTCAAAAGCAGCGAAAGTGGACTGAAGGTCGAAGAGAAAATTGCCCGAGCTTACCACCGGGATCTAACCTGGCGCAAGGTACTTGTCCGCCTCGAACCCGACGCACACAATAACATCATTGTGCGTCGCATGTTCACAAATGCCTACGGATGGCCAGTTGTGAAGCACCTTGTTGACACGCACTTTGGCCCTTCCCCCAACGTTGAGATCGACGATACTTTGAAATGCAATGCTGAAAGGGCCAAAGCCTTGAATGTCGGACCCACCAGCTCCGGCGACGAAGTGGAAGGCCAGTCTGATTCCACTGAAAGGGACTTGACTGAACCTGATCGTGCCGGACCAAGCCATACCCATGGGGGTGCCGTGAGCCCTTCCTGCTCGGAAGGATACCCCCAGCTGCATGACCTAGCTGATGCATTACCTGCCGAGCATGAATTTGACGAAACGGACAGCACTCATACTCGATCCCACTCTCACCATACTGAGGTTTCTCGGCAGGACTCGGCGCGATGGACCGATCGTCAGGTGGATGAAGATGATGACCGTGAATCCGGGTTGGATGTGGACGGGCATGCCGAGTTCCGATGGTCCCCAGCTCCACGGCCTACTGCTTGAACGGGCTACTTGGGAGGAAGTATTTGCCAAGCATCAAGTTGTACATAATCATTTGCCTTCCTAAATACCCTGTAATTAATCCACATCTATCTAATTAGGGATCGTCCCATTTTCATCTCTATTCCCATTTACAATTTCAGCATCAACCTCGATCAGGGCATGCTAATACTCCAATCTACCTTGAATGTAGCTCCAAAACTCCACCACTAGCTCCTTCTGGCCAGCCTCTGGTGCTCCTCGGACAGCCAAATATTTCCGCCCATCGAGAGAGGTCTCCCAGCCTCCGGGGTTACCATCCACCATCATACCACCCGCCTCGGTCAGGATGACCCAGGCAGCACAAACATCCCAAGCCCAACAGCCACCTTCCCAGTAAAGGTCCATCGTACCCTCAGCAACCGCACACGTATTAAGTGCTGCAGACCCCAGACTGCGGAACGAGCGAACCATCGCACCACCGTCCTCCTTTGACTGACCCAGCTTCTCAAAGGTACGCACCTTCGTCTCCCAATTGGGTCCGCTACGGTCCGAGCCCCATTCAATTGCAACAAGTGCATTGGGCAACCCAGACAAGGGCTCGACGTTCTCGCCCTTCAGGGGCAGAGGAGTCTCCTGATTGCGGAACGCACCCTGACCCTTAATCGCCGACCAGAGCGTTTTCGTGAAGGGGTTATAGACGACGCCTACGGTGGGAACTCGTGCGATGGCGAAACCAAGTGACACACAGGCGTAGGGGAAGCTGTGCACAAAGTTGACTGTGCCATCGATTGGGTCCACGACAAAGGTCGGGGCATCTGTTATGGGACTCGTGGGGTCGTAGGTTTCTTCGCCGTGGAATCTGGGAAGCAAATAGGTATCAGAATGGACATTGAAAGTAGTGTTGGAAGTAGGGGGACATACTCGTAATCGGGGTATTTCTCCTTCAATGAAGTCGAAATCATGTTCTCGACGGCGCGGTCATACTCGGTAACCAAGTCGGCACCTATATTGGAACAGTAGTACGTGTTAGTAAATCAATTCTGCTATCCTGTGTAATCTCTCCCACTGTCCTTGGTTCGTCGGGGCCAACCATACTGTTCTTCTTCGAGCCAGTGCCGCTGTTGTCTGGGAGGGCATTGGTGATTATGTCCCCAGCCTTGAAGGCCAGCGAGACGAGAAAGTCATGAATCTCCTTCAGATTGGGAGTGGACATGGTGGATGATGGGTGTGTGAGGGTCGAGGAGTCGTGAAGGAGAGAAGAGGACTGCCCCGCGGACTTGCGGCGAGAGGCCGGAGGCGGCCAATGCGGGGGATGTATGCATTGGCGGCTCTGAGGGTTTTTTTATTTTTATTTTTTTCGATATATGCAAAATATTTCGAGATAAAATGATGCTGATTTGAAATTATTCCTTGAAATCAGATATATTTCTTTCTCATTCCATGCGGTGCCATCATACTAAATAGTAAGGATTACACGATCTTCCCTCCGCTGGAGATATTCGGCCAGTCAGTGACGTCGCCCCCCACTTCGGGGAAAAAAAGTTTCGTGCGATCAACTCCGTCGATACAACCTTCAACATATCTCCCCTCCACGATGCCGACAGAACAAGAAGAGGTATCCCCTACAAATATATGCGATCAGGTCTATGAATTCACCAACTAATTTATCCTCTAGCTGGTGGAGTTCCTTCACCACGGCAATACGCAGATTCGACAGATTGGTAAGAACCCCGCCAGCGCCTCGAACTTCGAACTTCGATGTCCAAACCCCCCACAACCCAACGTCGCGCCGATCCATGTCTGATGCATATATAATCATACAGCCTGTGAGAATCTGCTTGGCTTCTCCACGGCCCAGCCAAGCCTCTTCAAGCGACATCAACTACTTCCTGTCCGAGACCTGAAGCTGCTGGCGAAGGACTACACAGTGCGTGCGACTGTTTCCGGCTCCCTGGGACAAGATTGACTGACATAGGGTCTGACTAGCCTATTGCGAAAAATGCCTTGACGATGCTTATCAACCTCTCCAATGATGAGGAGATCCTGGAGTGCCTGGCCAGCGATGACGAGTTCCTCGAGATCTTGCTCAGGAAGCTCATGGTAAGTGCAGTTTGGTGCGATACCAGCCAGAAATATCTGAGGGCTAACCTCGTCTTGTACCATTCCAGAATGTCAAGGAGCCCAACGCCGATGAGTTTGCCATGTTGCTAGCCAACCTCGTCAAATCCGACCACCTCAAGAAACTCCACACACTGAAGCGGAAAGCCCCCGCAGCAGTTTCCACCTCTGAGAATGCCATCGACCAGCTGATGGACTGTTTTGTGAAGGGTGCCGAGGGCGGTCTCAACAAGCACGCCAACTTCGACTACCTCTCCTACCTCTTCGCCGATCTGTCCCAAACCGAGACGGGGAGAGCGTACTTTACTACGCGGCAGGAGTACGACGGAGTGGTGCCAATCACGAAGCTGACCGTCTTCACGGAACACGAGAGCAACATTCGACGGAAGGGAGTCGCCTCCACCATCAAGAACGTGGCCTTTGATGTCGCTTCACATCCCATGCTTTTCAGCGAGGACGACGCCAATTTGCTGCCATATCTGCTGCTTCCGATCGCGGGACCGGAAGAATTCCCGGACGACGAGATGATGTCGATGTTGCCGGATCTGCAGCTCCTGCCCCCAGATAAGAAGCGAGACAGTGACAACACCATCATCACCACCCATCTAGAGACCCTGCTCCTTCTGACTACGACTCGAGACGGCCGTGAGAAGATCCGTGCCGCACAAGTGTACCCCTTCGTCCGGGAATGCCACCTCCACGTGGAGGACGAGGAGGTGCGGGAGGCCTGTGACCGGCTGGTGCAGGTGATTATGCGAGACGAGGAGGGCGAGGGAGAAAAGACTGATGCTGAATTGACCGAGGCTCAGAAGCAGATTGAAGGGGCTCCTCAGGCGCAAGCGCAGGAGGAAGATGAGAAGGTGGTGGAGCTGTTCTAGGCATGTCGATTGTGATGACCTTTATATATATATTGTAGATCCTGATAGACTATTGGGTTACAACCCACTGATCATATACTCTGGCTTTGCTGTCATCATCTATTCGAAGATATTGAAAGACATTCAAAAATTGATCTCAGATCCTTCGTACTGTACTTTCTCCTCCTCGAGTCTTTCATGTCAAATGGATTTCGTTGGCTGTGGGGCTGCTCCACCGCAATCCCACCACTCAACGCCCCCAATTTCTCGAGATCAGCCTGACTTGCACTGTCGAAAGCTCCATCACCCTCGCTTGACTCGTCTACGAGCGAGACTACTGCACGGACTAACCCCAAAGAAGCTACCAATTCCTCATTGCGGACCCTCCGCCGTCACAACGGCCGCCATCCCACTGCAGACGCGGAAGCGGACTTGCCCCCCGAGCCCGAGGGGACAAGAGCTCCCCGCCGAATCGGACCGAGTCGACGATCCCGACTCTGACGTCTCCCACGAGGAAGACGACTACGACAGCCACACGCACACCCACACGGACCCAGAGCAGGACCATCGCAGACCCGACAATGGAAGTAGCGACCCAGACGAGCCCCTCGAGTTAACCCCGCCCGACGATTCCAAGTCGCTCGCTCAGCACTTCTGGGTTTTCATGTCGCGCGCCCCTCTTCTCCGGACATCGCCCGCGCTGGGCTCGTCATCATACGGAGGTGTGCGTATTCCGCAGGACGAGTCCGACGACAATGACGACAATGATTCCGATGTTGCTGCTCGACACGATAAACCGACCCGCGAATGGTCTCCCGGTAGGCTGCAGCGGGCTAGCTTCGACAGCAGTGCCGAGGGACCTTCGAGCGATGCACTCCAACAACGTCGACGATTATCCAAATCCAAACAATCACATTCCTCCGGTCGGCGGAGGAGTAGTGCTCTTTACACAGAGGGACATAAGCGGCGACCTTCATCGGCCACCTCGGATGTAGGAATGGGTGCGGATTCCAAGTACTCGTTTGCAACAGGACTTGCGGTACCTGGAAACCCAGTGATGCAAGAAACTCCGGTGTCCTCGCCGTATATGACAACCGACGATGAGGATGTGTTGGATATTGATGACGAGAATACAAAACCTTTCGACGAGGATCCTCCGGATAATTCGCCGTACGTTTTGTTCTTGACTGGTCTGTCGGCGTAGCGATGGGCCCTGCTAGTCGCCAATGAAAGTCGAACGGCTAACTGACGAGAGACTACAGATATGCTCAAGTGCGAGCGACCGTCCCGGCGACAGATGATATTACGCTCTCCGTCAATAGTAAGTTTCGATCCCCCGCAGGATTGTGCCTGGTCCTCGCTCTGCCCCGCTTAGTGAAACCCTGTCTGACACTTGTACTCATATAGCCCCTCGCATGTGGATTCTTGCATTGCTTTTCTCTTTGACTGGTTCTGCAGCCAACCTTTTTTCTCCCTCCGCTACCCGAGCGTCGCTATCACCCCAATCATCGCATTGGTCTTGGTTCATCCATTGGGCAAGTTCTGGGACGTTCTGCTGAAACGGACGGACGACCCTATCGAAGTTTTCGAGAATGGAACTCTGGATCATCGAGAGTCACTCTCAGACGACATTGACGCCCCTAATCCGACTTTGCCCACCCGGATCCGGCTTTGGCTCGCCCAAGGGCGTTGGAACGAGAAGGAACATGCATGCGTCTATATCAGCAGTAACGTCTCTTTTGGATTTGCGTTTGCCACCGATGTCGGTATTTCTTGCTAAGCTGTCTTACATTCCTTTCTGACAATAGTCTTTTCCCAGGTCATCGTTGAGCAACACAAGTTCTACCAGCAGGAGGTTCCGATCTTGTACCAGTTGCTGCTCATCATTTCAACCCAAGTTCTGGGTTATGCATTTGCCGGGTTGACTAGACGCTTCTTGGTGCGGCCTTCGGCCATGATCTGGCCGGGGACCCTCATGTCTACCGCCATGTTCTCAACCATGCACAAGACAGCCAATAAGAAGGCCAACGGATGGAGCATCTCCCGGTACAAGTTCTTCATTCTTGTGTGGGCTGGCACTTTTGTCTGGTACTTCGTACCGGGCTTGCTGATGCCGGCGCTCAGCTACTTTAACGTGGTGACTTGGTTCGCACCCAAGAACGTCGTTGTGTCGAATCTTGTACGTGTTTCCGATTCCCTTATCACTTTCCTCTGTATAGATTCGTTGCTGACTGATGTAGTTTGGGGTTGCGTCGGGCCTTGGGATGTTGCCTCTGACCTTTGACTGGGCTCAGATCGCATATATCGGATCACCCTTGCTCACGCCTTGGTGGGCAGCAGCCAACATCGTGACGGGCTTGGTTGTGGTCATCTGGATCATTGCCCCGATCTTGTGTAAGCCTTGAAATACCTTTCCTCAGCCTGTATCATAATGGGCGACTGACTAAATCCCGTGGCAGATTATAAAAACGTGCTCTTCTCCTCATACATGCCCATCCTGTCCGCGGCAGTATTTGACAACACAGGCCACCCATACAACGTGAGCCGAATCTTGACGCCGGACTTCCTCTTCGATCAAAAAGCATATGAAGACTATTCACCGGTCTATCTCCCCATCACCTATGTCCTGTCATACGGTGTTCAGTTTGCTGCCCTGACCTCCCTGGTTACCCACACCATTTGCTGGTATGGTAAGGATATCTTGCACCAGACTCGCAAGGCTTTCGAGGAGCGTACGGATGTGCCAGACTTTGAGACATACCAGCCCCTCCGAACAGAAAATGGGCATGGATCCCCACGGCGACACGGCCGTGAGGCGTCGAGAGTCAGTTCTCATGATCCTAGTCGGGAGTTGCCGCTGGGAATGGAAGATGTGCATTGCCGTCTCATGAGGCGCTACAAGGACGCTCCTCTGACGTGGTACCTGATCGTGCTCGTTACAATGCTGGTCATTGCCACCTACACTGTAGAGCAGTATGTCTAGCCCCCTTTCATCACCTCGAAGTTATAACTAGAGTACTAATTATTGTTCCGCTCCATAGCTACCCGGTCCACTTACCCTGGTACGGTCTTTTTCTGGCATTGCTCATCACCAGCGTGTTCTTCATCCCCGTCGGCATCATTATGGCTGTCACCAATCAACACAGCAGTCTCTATCTAATCTGCCAGCTCTTGTGCGGGATTGTCTTTCCTGGGCGGCCCGTTGCGAACATGATCTTCGTGACTTATTCTTACATCAGCTCCGCCCAAGGCATCAAGTTCTCGTCGGATCTCAAGCTTGGGCACTACATGAAAATTCCGCCACGCATCCTTTTCAGTGTGCAGATGGTGGCGACCTTGGTATCCAGCCTGACGCAAATTGGTGTTCTGAACTGGATGTTCTCTTACATCCCTGGGATTTGCACTCCCCAGGCTCTGAACGGCTTCAACTGTCCTATTGCGCGCGTTCATTTTAACGGCAGCATCCTGTGGGGTGTTGTTGGACCGCAGCGATTCTTCGGGCCGGGTGGGCTCTATCGACCTCTCGTCTGGGCGTTTTTGATAGGCGCCGCAGCACCCCTCACAGCCTGGATCTTGGGTCGTCGCAGCAAGAAGAATTTCTGGCGGAAAGTCAATTTCCCCATTCTGTTTGGCAGTCTTAGCTGGATCCCTCCTGCGACGGGTCTGAACTTTTCCGTCTGGGCGCTTGTTTGTTTCGTGTTCAACTACGTGATCCGCCGCCGCAGGACCGCTTGGTGGGAGAAGTATGCGATGACGCTCTCAGCAGCTTTGGACTCGGGGCTGGCATTTGCCGTGCTTGTGGTCTTCTTTTTCCTTATTTACCCTGGCTGGGTTGATGGGTTTAAGTGGTGGGGAACGGAGATCTATAAACAGGGATGCGACTGGATTGCATGCCCGTATAAGCGTCTAGAACCCGGGCAGAAGTTTGGTGAATGAAGAATTCCTGAGCCAAAGTTGAGGGCTACATACACCATTGTTGTATAGAGTGTATTATTGAATGATTTATGAATGTAACGAATCGAGATTTCATTGATCATTGGGCGAAAGATGAAAGAAATGAAAGCGTAGTACATACTGTAGATACAGTAGTCAAGTTGTCGCAATAACCTTTCGAAAGAATGACCAGCCCAGGCCTGCTTACCTAAGCGTGTCATCACTGCCCGTGACCTCCAACTCCGACTCCAACTCCACACTCTCGTCCGCTTTCATCCTGTTGACCCAGCCCCATCTGACCTCCCCGGTGGATGTGCTGCAATATCACTTTCTTAAACTGAGAAGACGCGCACTCACGCTCTCACCTCTGAGAAAATGTCGACTCCAACCAACGCCTCCAACGGCCCAACGCCAACGCCAACAGGACCCAACGGCGCTCCACCCCCGATGAGGATTCGCCGCGCCAGGAACGCAGGCGACCCTCTCGTTCGTCCAAAGCGACGGCCTGCGAGGCCTGTGGGAGCTGCTCCCGGCGCAAATACAGCGATCAAGACCTTGCCCGCACGCCCCTCGGCCCCCGGCGCTCCGTTCGTACCTTTGCCTCAGAAACCCCGATCGGCCCTCGTCCCGGATGTGCGCTCCGTCAACGGATTCAGTGGGCCTTTGCTCTCTCAGAAATATGTTGACTACCCGCTGGTTACTACGAGGAAAGCTCTGCGTGAGGGGTTGAAACATCACATCGCCCGGTTTTCTTCCAAACGAACCATCGACCCTCGCGATGAATCTCAGTTTACGCGACCCGTCAGGCTTCATCGCCGCGATCCACGTGCTCGAGCTCATGAACAGCATGGGGAGAAGATGGTCGGACCGGACGGGCAGCAGCTGGACGAGGCCGAGCGGGAGGCCCTGGAAGCGCGAAGAGCCGCGCGCGAGAAGGAGCGTGCAGTGAATATGGCGCAGATTGCGCCCTCGGTCGGGTCGACTGCAAAGAGACCGAATGCCCCCAAGCAGAAGACACAACAAGTCTTCAAGTCGGACATGACTAAGGAGGAGATTGCCAGGGCGCGTATCAAGTACGAGGAAGCCTTGCCCTGGCATCTGGAGGATTTCGATAACCGCAATATCTGGGTTGGCAACTACGAGGCGGCGTTATCGGAGACCCACACGGTCTTTGTCCTCGAGAATAACAAGATGCGAATGATCCCCGCTGAGAAGTGGTACAAGTTCAGCGCCAAGCAGCAGTTTAAGGCGTTGACTATTGAGGAGGCAGAGAAGCACATGTCGAAGCGCATCAAGGACCCCCGGTGGTTCATGGAAAAGCAGAAGGAGGTCCAGGCGAAGAAGGAACTGGAACAATATGCCAAGCAGAACAGGGTTTATGCCGGAAAACAAGGTGGCATAGCCGGTAGAGAAGGCTTGGAGGCCAGTGAAATGGACTTTGAGGAGGACCGATTCGCCGATGACGAAGAACATGCGGATTTGTTCAACGACGAGCAAGACGAAGATACCAAGGCGGCTGAGCAGCGAATCAAAGAGGATCAATTGAAGGCGAACGTCTTCGATCTTAAGGAAGAGAAGGACTACGAGGACGAAGAGGAGCGCGAGAAAAAGGAGCGTGAAGCGCGCCGGACTTTCGGCAAGAAAGTCCGAAAGGCTCTCAAGAAAAGAGAGAGAAACTTCGACTACAGCAGTGGCTCCGATGTTAATCCATACACTGATGAAGAGGTAAGAATCCTCTATTCTATTGAGTTGTCAAGCATACAAAAGACTAATGTGATGGCGTGCAGAGTTCTGATGACAGCGAGGTCGAACGTCAAAAGGAGGAAGAAAAACGCAAGGCCGAAGAGGAAAGGCTTCAGAGAGAGAAGGATTCGGCGACATCTACCAAGGGCAGTAATACGCCCTCGGGTCGTCCAAAGCACACCGATGCTCTCAAGAAGCCAGCCGGATCTCGCAAGCGCCTGGGGTCTCCAGTTTCGGACGCGAGTGGCACCGACACCTCTCGAAAGAAGGCTAAAAACAAGCATCAGCCCACCTCGCGGCCAATGTCCCCATCTGCAGCACAGGTACGTAACACGGTGGCGAACCCTGATTGAATTAAAGAAACATATGCTTATCAATTTCTCCAGGCCGGTAAGAAACGCATTCGAAACGTCCCACTCGGCGGCTCTGGATCTGGCAGCGACGTCGATGTCGGTGCTGGATCTGGAGGCGAGCTGAGCGAGAGCGGCAAGACCAAGAGACTAAAACTGAACCCTCCCTCAGCCACTTCGCGCAGTGGCACTCCGCAAGGATCCCGAGCTGCAAGCCCTATCGCTAGCACCCAGTTCCCCGGTAGCCGAGCTGCCAGCCCCGATGGACCAAGAGGCAAGTTTTCTTCCGTCGTGAATGCTTCAACATTGAATCTATATGCCCAAAGCGTCATGCATGATTTACCGACTGACCACCAACAAAAAAAACAGGCGCCGGCCGCTCCACCCCCATCCCAACCGGACAACCATTCCCCACGCCCGCCGAGATTCACGCCGCGATCCCAGCCACTGGTATCACCAGTTCCGACCTTCTCCGTATTTTCCGTCCCCGCATTGGCGAATCCAAGGAGAACCATCGCCGTTTCATTGCAATCGTTAAGGACGTCGGTTTGTATGGCAAGGAGGACAGGCTACTCCGGCCTGGTACCTGGAGGCCAACCTAAGCTTGGGGAATTGCCGAGAACGCATTTCACTGGTATTTAGGAGCGTTACTTTTCGGTGGGATTTGAGATGTTTGTACGATAATACCTCTAGGGCAGGCTGAGAATGGATTGGATAGGGAGATTTAAAAATGAAACTCATTGATTTGAGAGACTATTCCGTATTGTAGAGTATATACATGATGTCTTTGAAATGAAGTTTAAAATAATGGCCTGGTTAATAAAATGAGATAGATAGGCCCTATACGATTTGTCTTGATGTAGCGGGATTAATGAATCATCTCATGTAGGAGAACCATTAAGGAGGAAGCTTCTGGTCAGAGAGGCTCAACGAGAAGCCATCATCTATTACAGCCGAGGCTAGATACATCTACTGAACCAAAGAAACATTCTATAAGAAAATCCGATTGACAATGTAGAACTAGGAGGCAAAAAGAAAAAGAAAAGTAACGCAACCAAAACACATACATGCAACGATCAACAATCAACAGCGCCAAGTTTGAGACATGTCACATCACACGACCCACAAGCAGGTCATTCTATCAGACAAAAGAAAAGGGAGAAAGAAACACACATTATCGCAATGGGGAATCACATCACAAGAAATCAAGTTCCAGAGTCAAGGACCAACATCTAAGCGGCGCGGGCAGCGTTCTCAGTGCCCTCCTCGTACTTCTCCCAGTTGGCCAGGATGGCGGCGATACGGGGAGAGTTGGTGAGGCGGTAGACGTCCTCGAAGTACTCCTTGGAGATCTCGAAGGGACGAGCAGTGACGTTGGGAATGTACTTGCCGACGAGCTTGGACGGGTCGATGGTGGTCTTGTTGATCTTCTTGAGCAGGAAGGACCGGAAGGGCTTGACACCGGAGCGCAGGAAAGTGCTGTGGAAGGGGACATCGATGCCCTTCAGCGGGATGGTGGCGAAGCCGCGCTCCAGTTGGATGGGCTTGGGCTTGGCCTCGGTCTGCTTGACGCACTCCTGGATGATGCTGACCAGGTGAGCCTTGAGGTCTTCGAGCGACATGCTCTGCATAAGAGCGGGAATGTCGATGTTCTGAGCCTTGAGGAAGTTCAGGAGGTTGGTGAGGCAGTCGAGGGCGCGGAGCTAAAACGTTCTACGTTAGTATATCCTGATGTTGTAGAAGGGGAAAAGATATCGAGAAAAAACTTACATCACCAGCAGCGACGTACTGCATGTTGGCAACGTTGTAGTTGACGATCTCCAAAAGCCAGCCAGTCTGCTCGGAGATGACCTCAACGACGTACTGCAAGGCCTGCTCGTTGAAGGTCTTGGAGATACGGCTGGGGTTGACAGCGCACATGGAGTAGTTGGAGCGACCCTGCTCGTCACGCTCGACGGCAACCTGCATGGTCAGACCACGGTAGAACACGACGGAGACCAAGCTCTCAATGGGCATGACGTCGGCCAGGGCAGCCAGAGCCGAGTATTCACCCAGGGAGTGACCAGCGAAGCTGCTGTCACGCTGGACCAGACCCTTGGAGCGCATGTCCTCGAAGCTAGCCTTCTCCATGAGGGTGAGGGCGGGCTGGGTGAACTGGGTGGCGGACAGCAGACCGGTGGGCGAACGGTAAGTGTAAGAAGCGGTGTTCTCATCAACCTCCTTGAAGATCTTCTCGGACTTGATGGAGCCATCGGCATTGACAGACTCGAAGGTCATCGCCATGTAGTTCTGGCGAATGGCCTTACCGCGGGGACCACCAAAGTAGACGGTGAGCTCCTTGGGGTTGTTCTTGACAATGTCAATGATGGACAGGCCGTAGTTCTCCATGAAGTGGCGATCAGCACGGTCCCAGACCTCCTTGGCAACAGGGCTGCTGGCATAGAGCTCCATACCCATGCCCTGCTCCTGAGAACCCTGGCCGGTGAAGACGTAGGAGGTGACAGGCTGCTCGACCTCGGCCTCACCAACAAGGACCTTCTCCTCGGTCTCCTTGTTGCTGGCCTCGACCTGGATGATCTTACGACCAGCAATCATACCAACGTGCTGCAGCTTGACGGCGACCATGTCGTTGGGCAGAACCATGCCGACCAGGGAGGCGTGGAAACCACGGACACGGCCGATGTTGTTCTCGGCGGCCCAGGTCTCCACCAGCGAGCGGACAGCAGCACTGCTGTACATGCCGTGGGTGATGGTGCCGGGCAGGTTGGCATAGCTGGAGAAGACACGAGAGACGTGGATAGGGTTGTAGTCGCCGGAGACGCGGGCATAGGTCTCGTTGGAAGCCGGGGCGCGCAGCTCCAGGGCAGTCTTGCCACTCAGAGGGATGGGGTTCTCGAAGTAGACGGGCTGCTCGATGGAGGTACCGTTACGCTGGAGGTAGTCAATTACGGGGTTACCGTGAGAGACACCAGCCTCGTAGTCCACGGAGGCAACCTGGATAACCTCCTTGGTGGGGAGCTCCAGGAGGACCTGACCAATGGTCTGGACGTTGCTGAAGACTGTCTGGTTCTTGAAGCGGATCAAGCTCTGGAGACGGAAGGTAAGGGTCTGGCCAAGGAGCTCGATCTCAGACTCGTCCATGCGGAACCACTCTTTGGAGCGGAGGATAGCGACATCACGGCTGGTGGCAAGGTGGACCTGCATGGGAACCTCGTCCTTGCGCTGGAAGGTGTTCTCGAAGTCCGAGTAGGCACCGCGGTACAGGAACTGACTGGTAACCTGCATGATGGGCTTGCCCTCACGCTTGATGGTACCGCAGACCTCGACCATCTTGCCAGACTCCTGGTTGATGACGGCGTTGATCTGAGCAGTAGTGTCCAGAACATCGCCAACCTTCAGAGGCTGAGCACCGGGGATCATCTTGAAGCCGTTGGACAGGTGAACCAGCTTCAGGAGATCACCGTCAATGGTGCGAGGGAAGATGGGCTTGGTGATGGCCTTCCAGCCAGCGACAATGGCGAAATCCATGGGAGCGAAGACCTCCTTGCCGGGACGGTCAACGAAGGCCTCGCCAGTGTTGCCGACGGCGTGGACGAAGTCAGCAACGGCCTGAGAGGTGATGGTCTCGCGGCCGCCGTTGAAGGTGGCAGTGGTAGGAGTGTCGAAGGGCACGTCCTTGTTGCCGAACCAGATGCGATAGTAGAACTCCTTGATGCGGTCGTTGCGGTCTCCCATGACCTCGCGGAGGGGGGCATAACCGGTCTCCGGGTGGTAGGTGAAGAGGAACGTCAGGGGAACGACACCACCCTCGGCGGTGCGACCCTCGAACATGGTCAAAGAGATCTGACCATTCTCGTTCACCTTCGCCTCAACGGTCTTGACCAGCTTGCCGGACTGGTAGGGCTCACGCACGCTAACCATAGTCTTGGCGGGGTCGTTAGGGTTGGTGATCTCCACGTACAGGCCAGCAGTGGGAGCCACGATGCGCTTCATCGGGTTGCTCTGGAACCGGTGACCCTGGACGAACACATCGGCCAGGAACAAGGCGTGGCGCCACGAGTAGGTGTTGCCAGCCAGCAGGCGGAGCCAGCGGTCCAGGCTAGGCAGATCGGCGGAGGTAGAAGAGGACAGGCGGAAGCTGATCTTGTTGGCCTCCTCGGAGACAGTGAGACCCTCCACGTCGGGCTCATCCGCGTCTTCCACCACGTTGCCACCGAAGTACTCAATCACGGGGATCTTGGACTTGTCACCTCCGTAAACGTCGCGGATCAGGCCAGCAATGTGGCCCTGGTGGACACCATCGAGAATGTCCTTGACAGGCTCGTCAATAATGTTGGAGAAGCGGGCAGCCATCGGACCCTGCAGAATACAGGTACGGCCGACATCCTGGTCAACAACGGCCTCGAGGTCCTCACTCTGCCAGAGGGAGTCCTTCTTGAAGAAGTACTCAAACTTCTCATCGAGGACGGGGACGAAAGGAACGGGCTTCTGGCCACGGCGCTGGCAAAGCAGCAGGAAGTGCTGGACATCCTGGGCGTTGATCAGCTGCTTGGCGGCCTCGGGATATCCAGCCAGAATAGTGTCCACAGCCGGGTAAGGGGTGTCGAGCTCGGAGTAGTTCTGGAGCAGGGAAGCCTGGCCATTCGCGGTGGTGAAGCGCTCCTCGACACGGCGCAGGAAGTCGCCAGTCAGACGCTTGAGCGAGTCATCGATCCAACGAGACTCGTGCTTGACGTACATCAGATCGACCATGCGGTGGACGACTTCAGCGTAGGTCATGTCCTCAAGGTCCACAGTCTCGCCCGCGGCATTGCGGCCGAACCAGACCTTTTGGAAGTCATCGTTGAGCTTCTTGATGATGTAGTCGCGCTGCTTCTTCAACTCGGGGACACGCTTGGCCTTGTCGAGCTTGAAGATCTTCTGGTCCATCTCCTGCCAGAAGAGGACACCGCGGGTAGCCAGCTTGTGAATAGGCTCGCCCATCTCGGAGAGGACAGTGATGACACCGCCAGCAGCACCCTTGTAGGTCTTCTCCCACTCCTCATTGTCGACACCGGGGGCATCAGCAATAGCCTTCTTGGCGTTCTTGGAAGTGTGCGCCTCCTTGGCGATCATCATGCGGCTACCGAACAAGCAACCATCGAAAGGCATGGGAGGATAGCCGAACTTGGCGGACCAAGTACCGGAGAGGTATGGGTAGGTGTCTTCAGCACCACCGAAGCCACTACCAGCAACCAGGACAATGTTGTCCTGCTTGCGAATACGGCTGTACATCTGGAGGACAGGCTGGTGGAAGTCCTCGAAGGAGTGGTGACCACCACCACGACCACCGGTCCACTGCAACATGATGGGGAACTTGGGGTTGGCCTTGGCGATATTGATGACCTGCTGAATGGCATCGACGGAGCCAGGCTTGAAGGAAATGTGCTTGATGCCCAGGGTCTCGATGTACTCGTTGGCGACCTCGATAGAGGGAACACCAGCACCAATGGTCAGACCCTCGATGGGGACACCGTCGGCACGCAGGCGGCCGATCAGAGGGATCTGCCAACCCATGGCACGAGGGTTGACGTAGATCAAGTTGACGGTGATGCCGCGGCCAGGCGGGATAACCTTCTCGATCTTGTTGATGGCGGCGGTCATGGTCTTCGCGTTGTAGTAACCACCACCGCCCAACTCAATGTGATAGCCAGCGTTCATGGTGGCGGCCACAAAGTCCCAAGGGACGGTGGTAGGGGTCATACCAGCGACCATGACAGGGGGAATACCCAGCAGGCGACTCATCTTGGTATCGACATAAGTCTGTCCAGTGGAGGTCTGCACCAGACGAGGGCCGTGCTCCTTGACCCAATCCACGGCATACTTGACCGAGTGCTCATCACGGTCAAACAGCTCAGGCTTGTAGCCGACCTCAGCATTAGTGCCGTCCATCTCACCAGCCAGAATGACCCGGACCCCGGTACCATCCTTGTTACGGTTGGTGAGGACACCCAGGCCGGAGATACCACCAGGACCGAAGTCGACAATGTGGGTAGCACCAGGGAAGACGGTGGCTTGCTCCCAGTTGACGGGATCATGAGTGATCATGCGGATCAGGGCAGGGACGGCGTTCTTATCGCCGAGCTCACGCAGGTCCTCTCCGGTCTTGGTGTTGAAGACGGGAATGAGCAGAGACATGGCGGGGATCTCCAGATCCTCCAGATCCTCCAGAATGCGGTCGTAGGCGGAGGTGAGGTACTGGCTGTGGAAGGGGGCCGTGATGGGCAGGAAACGGTTGACAAACCGAACCTTGCGCTGAGTGAAGGGAACACGGTTCTGGTCCAGTCCAGTGGGGGCCTTGACCTTACGCAGACGCAAGTTCAGACCGTAGAGGGAGATGGGGGGACCGGTCACGACGAAGTTGCGAGCACTGTTGACCAGGGAGATCGCGATGTGGCGGTCCTCGGGCAAGTGCTGGTTGGTGGCATCAATGTGCTCCTGGACGGCGGTGCGAGAGAGATCCCGAATGGAGAGCATGGGAGTCGGGGTACCCTCGCCATTCTCAATCGAGTCCTGCAGCACCGAGGGAGCCAGGGAGGTGCGAGGGTAGGCCTGCTGGCTGCGGAGACCGATCCAGAACAGCATGGTCAGGGCATTGCGCGAGGCCTGCGCAAAGGACTCCCAGGTCGTCGCAGTGGCAATGGCTGCGGCCGTGACCACACCCTGGGAGTGACCAGTGGTTCCGCGGATGCGCTCCACGAGATCACCGGGTTGTTGTCCCAGGACCTTGCAGGTCACCGTGAAGTGGGCCAATTGGACGAGACCGATCAAGGGCAGACTGACGGGAGCCGACACGAGGTAGTCGGTATCGGGCTGCACATCCCGATCCTGCAGCCAGCGCATGATGTCGAGGCCCTTCGGGTAGAGCTTGCTGGCCTCGGGCTCGCGGGACAGCGATTGGAGCAGCTCTGCAGAGGACACAATCAGCTCCTCTACGAAGGAGGGGTAGGTGTTATAGACTGTGCGCAGCTCGTCAAAGTACTCCTCGATATTGCCCTGACCACCGAAGACGGTATAGATGCCGGCAGCCTCATCGGAGGCGGCGCGGAACAGAGCCGAGTCGTAGGGCTTGGTAGGCCGGCCGGCGGCGGCACGACCGGCGTAGTAGGCCTCCACCACCTGGTTCTTCTTGGGAACGATGCTGGATAGGGCGGCTGCCACGGCGTGGACATCATTTCCACGCATGAAGGCGCGCTCAAACTCGTTCAGGACGAGCTTGAGGACCTCCAGATAGGTGCCCTGGGCATCGTCCTCACCCTCCTCCACCTCGCGAGCGACATGGCCAATGTAGCGGGCCACCAGCTCTACGACGGAGGAAGGCTCGTCGTCCTGGGCCAATTCATCCGTGGGCTCGGGTAATGATGTGGTGAAGCCATCCTTCAACTGGGAAGCATGGAAATGGAGCGAAGTAGGGACAAGGAAGGAGAACTCGAGGGAGCCATGTGAGAGGATGAGAGGGCGCAGAGATTGAGAGGACCGGGGCGTGTTGATTCCGGTCTGGAGACCGGTGGATGTGCCGTGCATGATGGTGGCGATGATGATGATGTCGTCTTCTCCTTGTCCTCTAGGAGACCCGGTCAATTAGGGTCGGGAGGGGAATTCTAGAAGAAGGATTGATGGTGAGTAGGAGAGTCTTGAAGAGGCGGACATCCCTCCCAAAAAAAAGTTGGCGGGGGACTCGGCCCGGAAGAGACAACTTACAAAGTAGGAGTCGTCTTGACCACGAGCAATTGAATTAAATAAAATAAAGACGGAATTCACAAGGACATCAAAATGAAGAAGAAGAGAGGGAGGATAAGGTGGAGAGAGTATGGGGGGGGGGGGAGAGGGAGAGAATTGGGAGGGGGAGGATGATGGACACGAGAAAGAGAGAGGAAGCAAGTGGCACTCGAGGAGGTCTCTTTGGAGTGTGTCTTGTCCCTCCAACAGCAGCGCAGCAGAAAATTGGTGGCCAGACGGTAACGAAAAAAAAAAATAAAAAAACTCCGCTGTTGAACTGTAAGTGGCCCAAAAGGGTTTAGGGGGAACAAGGACCCGCCCCAATACTCTGGCCGACTCCGACACAGTGGCAGAGAACTCCGTCCGGTATGGATGTATTGGACCGTACATGATTCCTCAGCCAGGGGGACGGGGTTTCCCTCGCCAAGTGCCGCCATTCAACGGGTTGGGTCTGCCAGCGAGAGTTCCGGCCGGTCATCGTAATACCGGCATTGTTGGTAATACACGTATATTTTATGTATTTTCTTATTTATTGACGTTGGGCCATTCAACCAGTTTCTCGATCTCGAGTGGGATTGGAGAGTTAGACGAACCCATCACATGATTCAACGGATGAGATGGCGAGACGTTCAGGGAACACCACAGATATCGATCTGACAGCAAGAGCATCCGTTGGACTCAGAAAAATCGTGAATCATAATATTGAACTCAGTTACCGAGTTAGTGATTATTTTCGATTATCTCATCAAGCTCAAAAGGAAAAGTGGGTCGATGGGGCAGGGATGGAGTGTTGGGAGCCTGCCCATTGGCCTGCGGTGGCCTGCCAGGAACGGGCCCCAGTGACCGCCGCACGGCTCCTGCGATGAGCATCCAGAGCCCCCAACGGCCTCACCACTTCTTTTCTCATCCCTTCCGTCCGCGTTTTGGGGAACCCCTCCAAAAAACTTGATACGGCAACAACCCAATGGCTGGATCAACCCACCCCCCCCTTCGGAACGATTGTGGGTGACCACGCTGGACAATGACTTTCCATTCCTTTTTAATTACTGTAACCGTATTGTAATAAACTCTCCCCCATCCGCGAAATTCTTCGGCATTGCTGGGAAACGCCCCTGCAACTAAAAAGATCTAATCGCTCGGCCAAAATTACCAGCCCGTATCCGGTATTACCAGTCGTGAACCACCCTATCGAGGGCGCTATCGCCTTCCCACCTTTTTTTTTTCTTGTCGACACTGGTCTTCACTCCTCCACCACCTATCCTCTCCTCCTCCTCCCTCCTCCTCCTCCTCCAGACCATTTGGGATTCCTTTCCCTCCCTAATTCTTGTGTGTTTTTCTTTTATTCTCCCATTTACCTTGTTTTCTAGAATCAATCCCTTCAGTGGGCATTCAGCGACGAGTCCCTGTCGCGCCACGGATCCCTCAACCTACTTCCCGTCGACCTACTCCTAATAACCTTGACAAAATCGCCCGAAACTTCTCGATACCCCCTCTTCTTCTCTTTCGACTTCATATATCCACCCCTCCCCGCTTCCAAACACATACACAATTCCGCCATGCGTCCTGAGATTGAGCAGGAGCTGGCTCACACCCTCCTGGTGGAGCTGCTCGCCTACCAGTTCGCCTCACCCGTCCGATGGATTGAGACTCAAGATGTCATTCTCGCCGAGCAGCGCACTGAGCGCATTGTTGAGATTGGTCCCGCAGATACCCTCGGTGGCATGGCCCGCCGCACACTCGCCTCCAAGTACGAGGCTTACGATGCCGCCACCTCCGTACAGCGTCAAATTCTCTGCTACAACAAGGACGCCAAGGAGATCTATTATGATGTCGACCCCGTTGAGGAAGAGCCAGAACCCACCGCCGAAGCTCCCGCGACTGGTGCTGGCGCTGCGGCCCCCGCGGCTACGGCTCCCGTGGCCGCTGCGGCCCCCCCCTCCCAGTGCTGGCCCGGCTGCCGCGGTTGAGGATGCCCCAGTGACGGCTGTTGATATCCTGCGATCCCTGGTGGCTCAGAAGCTGAAGAAGGGTCTGGCTGAGGTGCCATTGACGAAAGCTATTAAGGATCTTGTTGGAGGTAAGTCTTGAGCGTCGAATTTTGGCTATGGACCAAATTTGTCCAATTCCACCGGCCGTCAACGTTGCGTGGGGGGAAAAAAATGCTAATCGGTCCGCTTCTCTCCTACATAGGCAAGTCCACATTACAGAATGAAATTCTCGGAGACTTGGGCAAGGAATTCGGCTCGACGCCAGAGAAGCCCGAGGACACCCCGCTGGACGAGCTCGGTGCCTCCATGCAGGCCACTTTCAACGGCCAATTGGGCAAGCAATCCTCCTCCCTCATTGCCCGCATGGTCTCCTCCAAGATGCCCGGTGGCTTCAACATCACAGCCGTTCGCAAGTACCTCGAGACGCGGTGGGGCTTGGGCGCGGGCCGCCAGGACGGTGTGCTGCTGCTCGCCATCACCATGGAGCCGGCCTCCCGTCTGGGATCGGAGGGCGATGCCAAGGCTTTCCTGGACGACGTGACCAACAAGTATGCTGCTAGTGCTGGTGTGAACCTCTCCGCTCCCACGGCTGGTGGTGACAGCGGTGGCGGTGGTGGTGGCATGATGATGGACCCTGCTGCCATTGACGCTCTGACCAAGGACCAGCGAGCTCTGTTCAAGCAGCAATTGGAGGTGATTGCCCGTTACCTGAAGATGGATCTCCGCGCCGGTGACAAGGCTTTCATCACCTCTCAAGAGACCCAGAAGGCCCTCCAGGCCCAGCTTGATCTGTGGGCCGCCGAGCACGGTGACTTCTACGCTTCCGGCATTGAGCCCTCCTTCGACCCGCTCAAGGCCCGTGTCTACGATTCTTCGTGGAACTGGGCTCGCCAGGATGCCCTCAGCATGTACTACGACATCATCTTTGGCCGTCTTCAGATGATCGACCGTGAGATTGTCAGCCAGTGCATTCGCATCATGAACCGTTCCAACCCTCTGCTCCTCGACTTCATGCAGTACCACATCGACAACTGCCCGACGGAACGCGGCGAGACCTACCAGCTCGCCAAGGAGCTGGGACAGCAGCTCATTGATAACTGCAAGGAGGTGATGGATGTCGCTCCTGTGTATAAGGATGTTGCTGTTCCCACTGGTCCTCAGACCACCGTTGATGCTCGGGGTAACATCACGTTCAAGGAGACCCCCCGTGCCAGCGCTCGCAAGCTGGAGCACTACGTCAAGCAGATGGCTGAGGGTGGCCCCATTTCCGAGTACAGTAACCGCAACAAGGTTCAGAACGATCTCAAGAACGTGTACAAGCTCATTCGCAAGCAGCACCGCCTGTCCAAGGCTTCGCAGCTTCAGTTTGATGCTTTGTACAAGGATGTGCTCCACGCCCTCGGCATGAACGAGAATCAGATCATGCCCCAGGAGAACGGCACTGCCAATAAGTCTGGCCGCAACGGCCTGAAGCGTACTGCCGCCATTCGTCCCGGCAAGGTCGAGACCATCCCCTTCCTGCACCTCAAGAAGAAGTCCGAGCACGGCTGGGACTACAACAAGAAGCTGACCGGCATCTACCTGAATGTTCTTGAGTCGGCTGCTCGCTCCGGTCTCTCTTTCCAGGGCAAGAACGTCCTCATGACTGGTGCTGGTGCCGGTTCCATCGGTGCTGAGGTCCTGCAGGGCCTGATCTCTGGCGGTGCCAAGGTCGTTGTCACCACCAGCCGCTTCTCCCGCGAGGTCACCGAGTACTACCAGGCCATGTACGCCCGCTACGGTGCCCGTGGCTCCCAGTTGGTTGTTGTGCCCTTCAACCAGGGAAGCAAGCAGGATGTGGAGGCTCTGGTGGACTACATCTACGACACCAAGAAGGGTCTCGGCTGGGATCTCGACTTTGTCGTGCCCTTCGCCGCTATCCCCGAGAACGGCCGCGAGATTGACTCCATCGACTCCAAGTCCGAGCTGGCCCACCGTATCATGCTGACCAACCTGCTCCGCATGCTGGGTTCGATCAAGACTCAGAAGCAGGCCCACGGCATCGAAACCCGCCCTGCTCAGGTCATCCTCCCTCTGTCACCTAACCACGGTACCTTTGGTAACGACGGTCTGTACTCCGAGTCTAAACTGGGCCTGGAGACTCTGTTCAACCGCTGGTATTCCGAGAGCTGGGCCAACTACCTCACCATCTGTGGTGCCGTCATTGGCTGGACCCGTGGTACTGGTTTGATGAGCGGCAACAACATGGTCGCTGAGGGCGTTGAGAAGCTTGGTGTCCGCACGTTCTCTCAGCAGGAGATGGCCTTTAACCTGCTGGGTCTGATGTCCCCTGATGTCGTCAACCTCTGCCAGCTTGATCCCGTCTTCGCCGATCTCAACGGTGGTCTGCAGTTCATCCCCGATCTCAAGGACCTGATGACCCGTCTTCGCACCGACATTATGGAGTCCAGTGACGTTCGCCAGGCCGTCATCAAGGAGACCGCCATTGAGAACAAGGTTGTCAATGGTGAGGACAGCGGCGTTCTGTACAAGAAGGTCGTTGCCGAGCCTCGTGCCAACATCAAGTTCGAGTTCCCTAAGCTCCCCGATTGGGACTCCGAGGTCAAGGCTCTCAACGAGAACCTCAAGGGTATGGTCAACTTGGACAAGGTGGTCGTTGTCACTGGTTTCGCCGAGGTTGGACCTTGGGGTAACTCGCGGACTCGTTGGGAGATGGAGGCCTTCGGCAAGTTCTCTCTTGAGGGTTGCGTTGAGATGGCCTGGATCATGGGTCTGATTAAGCACCACAACGGTCCCCTCAAGGGTAAAGCCTACTCT